TGGGAGCAGGGCGTTCTGACAACCAAACAGCTCCCAGCTCCAGCTGCCATTTGTGTTCCTGACTTCAATACTTATCCCAAATTGAAGAAAAGTTTTAAAACACTATGAAAGATCTCTCTAAATGCCAGTGAAGACCAAACAGGTACCAGGAAATAAGCAGCAGAAGCTCCTGGCATGTGTTGGCTCCTACTTGACCTTGTTCTACAATATTCATTGTCCAACAGGTGTAACAAGAATCACCCAGTGGCACCTCCAGGGTGCAGGGGGGACATCCTGTCCCAGTCCCACACCAGCACTCATGGATGCTCCCAGACACACTCACACAGGGATGGAGTCTCAGCAGGCTCCCCTCGTGACAACTGCAAATGCTCCAAGTGCCAGCACACAGAGGAAAGGGCAGGAGGTCAGTGATGGGGGGCACGTCCCCCACATCTCCATGGAAATCTATTTCAGCATTGGCTGTGGCTCTGCAAGGTCTTACAAGGTCTGCAGTGTTTTAGGGATGTCAGAAGGTTGAACAGGACAAGTGAGAAGATGCAAAGGCTGTCAGGTTATTTCTGACCAAAGCCCATTTACAAGCAGTACAGCTATTTATAAGTATGTAAAAATAATGTGAACTTAACCTTACATTTACATTCTTGTTTAGTTATATTATGCTCCTCTGAAAAAAGATTTAAATATGATTACTGGTCCATTACTGAGTTTGAAAAGCCTTGGGGAATAGTATAGAACACATACGGCCATCTGTAATCTGCTCATGCAGATGCGTGAAAATCAAAGACAAAACTTGCTGAGATAACAAAAATATCTTAATTCAATTTGTAATGCAGCAGCACAAACCCTGCGTGTAACAACATTAAATTTGTCCAAGAATATGGGCTTAAATATCCTCTTTGCTGAGGTAGTTCCCACATGCTCCCTGTGATCCAGGCAAGCAGACAGTAAATGAGCAAAATATAAAGAGGTGCAAGTTTCAGCTGGCCAGGAACGACTCATGCCAGCCAGTGACAGATCTGTTCGGATGGGAACATCTGCTGCTACTGCTCAGGATACCAGGAATGCTTGGACCAAGTCTATCCTATAAAAGGTTGGTGGATCTATGCCACAACTCAGGCCAAACTTACTAGTGCAAGCACGGTTTGTTCAGGGAAAAGCCCTCTCACACCAATGTAATTTACATCAAGCTCTCAAACTAAATAAATTAAACCAGGGCAATGGATCTACACTAAGGACAAAAGAGTGCTACCAAAAAAAGGGCAGGTTTCTGGCTGATTTGTTACAGAAGAGAAAACCAAGAGCTAACCTGGCTTGAATATAGCTGCTCTGGGATGCACAGCAGCATCACCTTGAGCCAAACCACACTTTGTCCTGTGGCGGTTTCTTCCCGAGGAGCCTTCCTTTTCTCAGGCTCAGGAACATACCACAAGATGTTAGAGATATGCAGGGAGACTTCTGTGCTTTGTAAATGGCAGGATTTGCTCCAGGGGCACACAGAGGGATTAGATAAACCTGTACATATAAAGGAATTCTGTAGGAATTCACACAACCACCCCAGACCTCACTGGCCTGAGAGAGCTACAGACCACTTGGCATTAAGCAGTTGAGGCAAAACCTCAAGAATCAAACTACCACAAAAATTAAAATTCTTACTGGTCCCACAGACTGAAAATTTGAAAATAAAACAGGCTTTTAAAATTTTTCTGTCCTTGCAGAAGCCACCCTATGGATCAGACAGGCAGGTGGACATATAACAATGACCCCAATAAGACTTCCAATATGTTTCTGTGCCCCTTCATGCCTTTTTTTCTCTCCCCACTGAAGCTGCTATATTTTAGCTGCATGGATAATCCAGTTGCCAAATAACTAGTGGGAAAACACATCACTATAATTTACAAGTGTCCTACTCATAACCAGTCAGCCAAACAGCTCCCATGCAAAACTAAAAAACAGGTAACGCTCCTCTCTCTGTGGCTGCACAAATCCTTCAGCACACACAGACTGCTCACACCCAACCACCCCCTCACAAAGTCCATGCCTACTTATTTTCCTACTCACACCCTAAACTAGGCATTCATGCAAACCCTACAGTTTCTGAACTCGCCCACCAACTTGCCCACAGCCACAGCACATAATGAGACAGCCAGACACTGAAAACACCACATCAACTCATACTTCCACTGCTTCACTTCAAATTTCATGTACATGCTTATTTTTATTCCAAGTTTTACTTCTGAAATTACTTAATGGATTTTTCTGAGCTTTATATTGGAATTTTTCAAATGAGAGCAATCTGAATCAATTGGCATTTGGAGACTGTAACAGCCTGTGGTACCAGAGCTTTGGAATCAGCTACCCTTAAAATACAGCGACAGGAAATTCTTGTGTCTCCTACAATAACTGTTTATACAGAGGCCTAAACTGATTTGCACAGATAGGTACAAGGTGGAGATTAATTTCAACTTCAAAAAAAGCCACTGTGTTCTTTGGCTGGAAACACAATGCTTCAACATTGGCAACCTACCTGACCAATTCTACCCAATGTGAAGACCAGCTGGACTAAGAGAGAGATCCTGGAGTGATAAAAAGAAGAGAGACAGGCAGCAAGTAAAAATTAGGCTCTGCAAAGGTAGGTAATACAAATGTGTTTCCTAATGTGCCATACAAGAACTAGGTACATGTATTTTTAGTTCTTTACATCTTGCAAACTTGAGGAGAAGACATGAGTAAGCTTAAAAAAAAAAACAAACCTCACATTTAATCATATTTATATATTAATGCATGTAACCTACTTTCACACATAGTTAATGAGTTCCTTCATGAGATTTGAACCTGAACAATTCTGAGCTTAAAAAAACCACAGCTCTAATGACTACAAGTTTTGTTGCTAGTGTAGTTGTGTCTGGAGCTCTTATTCCTCACACACAATTAACCCATGTTTCCCCAGTACATTTTTCAAAGATTAACAAAATGCAAAACTTAAAGATAAAATTCTGTGAAAAGGCTCCATAGGGTAATCTACAGTATCTTTTAGTTAAGCATTTTTTTTTCACAGTAAAAAAATTGATATTTTCTGTAAACTCATCCTGCTGTAGCAGTAGAACAGCAGTTTTTCCAAGGACATGACCTCTTACCACCTACAGCAACTCTTCTGAAACCTAATGTCAGGCATATGGTCATCTAAAATATGATGCCAAATGACCTAAGAAGCATTCAGGCATTTTGAAGAGTATGAATCAATGGCTCATTTCTATTTCACATCTTTGATTTCTTTCACCACAGTCTTCCAAACCTGCTTCTCAAGACAAGCAGTGACAAAAAATTATTAGTAGTACATAGGCTCCACCTTGTCCTTTTTGCAATTTTCTGATGATCTTCCTTCTATGTGCATTTTATTTCATTTTATATCTCAGTTCTGCTAGCTTGGTGAAGAGAACTGTTTACTTAAGTCTGTGCACGACCACTGCTATTTAAAAGTTATTCACCAGCCTCATGTTCTATTTATTATTAGTTTATTTTTGTACTTGAGAATGTTAGAGTTGTACTACAATGGTCACCCAAAATACTGTATTGTTTAAAAGCAGATGCTATGACACTGCACAAGGTTGCATTTTTTCAGATTGTAGCATAAAGAATTCCCATCCTCATCTAGCAAAAAAAATGCAAATTTTGTGTCAACTTCACAGGAAGCAGCAGCTGGAAGAAATGTCCAAACAGTACAAAAAGTCTGCAATCGATTTATGATAATCCTGAGTTTAAATGGTACAGAAGGTCTGCTCCTACTTTACATATGAGGACAAAAGAAATGCCTTTATTACCTGCAAATGAGTGGACTTAAAAACACTTTGAAATTATGCACTTGTATGTTTTGTTTACCTGCTCTGACATGCAGACATGTACCATGACATCTCGTGGAGGTATGTTCTTTTCACCTGCTGTCACTGGACTGACAGCACTGAGTGTGATGGGGTTCAGACTGGTGTCAGCAGGACTTTCCATGACCTGGGTTTCCCTGCACAGCTGCTTGCCAGGACCTCAGAAACCATGACTGTGCTAATGCAGCTCGTCCTCCCCAGCACTCGCTGTCAGTGGCACAGTTCTGACTGCACATGCTGGTGACACCCCTGCCAAGAGCTGCCAGCGATCCTGGCACGGCCAGGCTTTGTCACTCTGGCAATTTCCAAGCGATGTTCTTAGATGTTGCGGAGGCACAAGCGATGGGGAGACAAACCTGTATTTTTATTTTTCAATTTAGAAGCCAAGTACTTCAGACCTCATGATCACCACCTGGAGCCCTGCCTTGCTAAAAGGCATTAAGGAGGAAAAAAATGATGCTGAAGTGCTGACTCGGTGCGGCCGAGGGACACACAGAGCCCAGCACCTCACAATGCCCCTGGGGTGCTGCCCCTCGGCCGGACACCTCCCTGGCCATCCTCACAGTGCACTCTGCAGGGGTCACTTGTTCACAGCGGGCTCCTGGCAGCAATGAAGTTGTTGGGGGGATTTTGTTCCCTGGTGGATGACACAGCCTCTCAGAGCTGGAAGAGCAGCGCTGTGATGCCGGGAACACGACGGGTCCTGCGGAGGGGCCCGGCGGCACCGGCCGGAGGCAGGGAGGGAGGGAGGGAGGGAAGGAGGGAAGGAGGGAAGGAGGGAAGGAGGGGGCCCAGCAGCTGCTCCCACAGAAGCGCAGACTAGTTGGTGTTGGAAGGAAGCTCTGATCACCCAGTCCAGCTCCTCTGCCAAGGCAGGCACAGGACAGGAGCTCCCACCTGGAGCAGGTGACACAGGAACCGTCCGGCTGGGGTTTGAACGTCTCCGGAGAGGGAGACTCCGCACCTCCTGAGGCTGGGGCCAGCTCCGGGCCGAGGCGCAGCCGGGGTCCGCAGCCCCCCGCCGGCCTCCCCCGACTCCTCCGTCCGTCCCCACACGCGGCGATCCCGCTCCTTACATAAGCCCGGCCCCGCCGAGGGGCCGCCCGGGGGCTGCGGGCCCGGCCGTACCTGATGTAGGGGCTGGCGGCCGCCAGGATGTTCTTCTGCACCGGGATCTCCTCGCCCTCCAGCACCAGGTGCGCGTCGCAGAACCGCGTCTCCTCCCGGAACGAGCTGAGCGCCCGCAGCAGCCGCGCCGGGTGCTGCGGGTCCGACACGGCGCTCGGGCCCGACATGGTGCTGCTGCCGCCGCCGAGCCGGGCCGGGCCGGGCCGGCTCAGTCCCTGCCCTCACACCATGGCTGAGCGCCCGCCCGCCGCTGACATCATCTCCCGGCATCATCTCCCCGCGCCGCCCCGCGGGGGCGGCCCGGCCCGGCCCGGCCCGGCCCCGCCGCCCGCGGCCACCGCGGCCCCTCCGCGGGCGGGGCGGGGACGGCCCGAGGAAATCTCGGCTTTGTTTCCTCACGGCTTTGGAATGGCACTGAAGGAGCTCCGGAGAAGGGAACGGAGCTGGGGAAGGGCTGGAGGGAGCCTGAGGGGCTCAGCCTGGGGAAGGCTCGGGGGGACCTGCTGGCTCTCCTCATCCTGGCAGGAGGATGGAGCCGCGGGGGGGTCGGACTCCTGGCCAGGCAACGAGCGACAGGACAAGAGGAAATAGCCCTAAGATGCACCAGAGAAGGATTAGGTTGGACATTAGGAGACATTTCTTCCCAGAAAGGGTGATCAGACATCGGAACGGACTGCCCAGGGATGTTATAAAGTCACTGTCCGTGAAGATGTCTAAGGAAAAGAGTGGAAGTGGCACTCGCCGGTCTGGGTGACACGGTGGTGTTTGGTCATAGGTTGGACTCGATCATCCCAGAGGTCTTTTCCAATCTAATTGATTCTGTGATCTTGTAAAAATGGCCTTTTATTTATTTGTTTGTTTCCTTATATGAGCTGGACGTGAATGTTACAGGTGTAGACACAAGGAAAAGTAAGAGAATGAGAATTAAATACAGCAAGATTCATTGTGGCAGTGTCCCTTTCCACAACTTCCCACTGGAAATGTGGCCTTTTCCAGCAAAAAAGATCTTTAGGACAGTTCACATGGTAAATTTTAGGCCATTTATTATCATGCTTATTTGCACATTAAGAGACTAGTTGATTCCATCTGCTTTCTTAACAACACCCAACATTAAAGTAGTGAAACTATTTGCACTGAGTGAAAGTGTTTCACAAACTGTGATCTGCTCTAAAACAGACACCCAGCTGGTGGTGCTGGGAGGGACCAGCACAGCAGCTCCCTGTGCTCCCTGTGCTGACAGGCACAGCAGCACTGGGATCTCCCAGCCTCTGGAACATTCAGATGTATGTCATGCTGCCCATCCCTTCACTGGGAAAATAACACTTTCAGAGGGTCTGATCTAGTAAAGCTGTGGTGGGTCACATTACTTTTATTACTTGCATTTCCTGAAATGTAACAAAATTCTATCATTCATTCAGTTTGATGGTGTCTCCAAATTTTACCACTCGGAAAATGAAGTGGGGTACCTGGAAACGACCCCGTAGGAAATGAATGCCTTGTTCTTTCCCAGCTGGACACAATGCTGCTTTGTTGTGCAGATGGAGACTGCAGCTGGGACATCCTCACACATCGCCCAGCAGTCCAAACCTTGCACCCAGAGCCTGGGTGAAGAGTGTGCTCAGCCCTGTTGGAGCCAGGCTTTAGAGCTGAACCCTTGCTGAAGTGCTCCCTGACTGGAGAGGGGTCACAGGGGCAGCACCATGCTGCAGCTTTGTTGTGCAGCTCTGAACAAGAGTTTTAGGAGCAGAGGATGTAGGACAGAAAGCCTAAACCCACAGCAATGTGCATAAAACACCAGCAGCTCTGCAACACTTGCTGTCGTACATACTCACAAATATTAGAAGGCCACTTTTTTGTTGCTTGGGTATAATTATCCAGGATGTCAGGTGTAGGCTGAGGATCCAGAGGACACATTCTCAGCTCTCTTTGAGGGTAATGAAGGCAGAGAGCACACTGCTCCTTAGCTGCAGGGGAAAGATGTATTTTGCTTGTCATTAATACTCAGGTAATTGCAGACCCAAGGGAGCAGTGGTTTAAATTATTGCGAAAGCTGTCATTGAGTGGCCTGGTTATTTGAAAAGACACTGGTGCGTTCTCCTGCCACCTGCACAGATTGGTACAGAGGAAAACATTGTTGCATTTCTGGTTTTTAAGGTGTCCTGGTAAACACTATTTCTGCTTCCTCCTGCTGCCTATATGGGGCAATGGGACATGGTGTAACAGATAATTCCCAGTTCCAAAGAACAAATTCATTGTTATACCTTGTTATTTGTTCCATTTAATGAATGAATTAACCAAAAAAAAAAAAAAAAAAAAAACAAAACAAAAAACTCACCAAACCAAAACAACAACAAACCAAACCACTCTATCAAGGTCCATCTGTACATCTCTGAGGTAATTAATTATATATATGCATACCCGTGGCCTGATTCTCTCACTCAACTACGTATTTTTCTTTTAATGGAGATACATGTCTTTATTATTTTTTTATTTGCAGTCACTCCATCTAGATTTGTGTTATGCCATTATAAAAATTCTATGAATTTTGTTGGGCTAATTTATGACTTAAATTGGTGCAAAAGAAGAATCAAACCTTTCTGACCCTTGAGATTCATTCACAGTGAAGGGTGTCAGAAGCAAACCAAATGACACTCATTACCTCGTGCCACGTCACCACATCAAAAAAACCCCTGTGAGCCTTGCAGCCACTTGGCGAAGCATATCAGCATTTCCCCTTGCTTCTGTCAGCCTGGAAATGATAGTGTGTTACCATATTCAGGGTAAATGTTTCATCAGATTGGTATTGCAACCACTAAAAACATCCTTGAACAAATTTGTGATTAGCTGTAGGGTTTTATTCCTATTGTCTCTGCTGCAGGAGGATACTGGGATTAACAAATGCAGATTTACATCGCTGTTTTATCCCTCAGATTAACTACAAACCTAATCAAATCCTGTGAAGTACTGACCAAGGGAATAGGGTACATCTCATTTAAAAATCACATCCAAGATAAGTTCTTATCATTTATTTTCTGCATTATTTCTACATGATTGTAAATAACACGTTTGCTTTTTGAGACTACAGGTTGTTTTTATGATGAGTATATCCCCTATCCTGTTGTCTCTACCAGTAAAAATTATCCCCTCATAAGTGAACTAACTCCTATCCAAACCTATGATTATCCCAAAACAACCCTGTGAGTACTACAGAAGGAATTCTAGAGACAAACTCTTAGAAGAAAATCTGTAACAATGGTTAGACTTTTGATGCATTGCCACCTTGTAATTCTAGAAATGTATTTGTGACCTTTGTTAAATCTAAACTTTTTCATATGAAAAGAAACAATTCCAGAGCTGATGTCTTTTGCCAATATCACAAGTCAATCTTCTCTTCCAGTACTGGTTCCATATTATTTACAAAAATTGAACTAAATTTCTTCTTTAGAAGATAAATTTCTATTAAATACTAATGGTAATAGGCCTTGAAAACACTAAAAGTGACTATTTCTGCAGATACACCTTACTGAAACATTTATTTCCATTTTAAGGAATGTGTAAGCATTTGAACATTCAAACCTGCATATTTTAACTAGATCTGACCACAGTGTTAGATTTATTTTTTTTTTTTACATTAAAAATAGCCTGCATATCTTTATCCTAACAAAGTGCAAAGACTTAAGCAGAGGTCTGGTTGTTACAGAGCAGACAGGAACTGTGGATGATGTTGGTTCAGTTCCTGCTCTGCTACAAACACCTTAGGGAATCCCGAACAGGTCACCAAGCACAGATTCTCATGTGGTAGGGAGGTAGAAAATGAAAATAATTTCATTCTGTTTCCTTCCTATGAAACACTGTGAGCAGCTGAGGCACTGAAGGGATGTGTGTGCCAAAGTGAGAGGTACCTGAGCTGTGTGGTGATACAGACAGACCAGATGGACACCCGAAATGGATGGATGTGCACCTGGTTTTCTCTATCAGTAAAGATGCTCCAACAGCAAAGATATCTACAATGAGAAAATAAAATTCAAAGCAAAAAAAGCTTGCACTTAAAGAAAAGTCAGTATTAGGAATACAATCAGGGGGGTAAAAAATGCCATTTCTGTAACAGAACCCATCACACTGTGCTTGGCGCTTGAACTTTATGTTGAAATGTTCATTTTAATTGTAGCTGTAAGTGAAAGTTGTGCAATTTTATTAGGAAGCATCTGGTACAGGCAAGGATCAACACATGTGAGAACATGGATACTCCTAAGCACACATAAAGCAAATGCTTAGTAATGACAATAACAGCTTCTAGTTTCAGCTACTGTGGGTTCAGATGAGGCCTAAATTAGATCTTTCACTCTTTCCTAAACTGTTTGTTGTGCATGTGTGTCTGAGTTCTGCTACAAATACACTGCCCTCATTCACATACATACTGCTATTAACAGAGACTAGTGGCAGTAGCAAAGACTACAATTCTTCTTCTTCTCTTTTACACAATATAATCATCTAATTACATGAAATGCAATGGCAGATATTCTGCCCAAGGAAAACTGATTTAAATACAAACTGCTTAAGATTGAATGTCACTAAAGTATGATTGAATGCTGCATATAACCATGTACACTTTTTCAATAAAGTTACTTGGTTTTGTCAACGTAAAAGTGAAAAATACACTGGGGGAAGGGTTAGGTCCTGGATAAGAAAAATATAGCACCTCAGCATAATACTTTGGTTATGGTAGAGTTTAAGAAATCAAGCACCAAGAGAATATATTGCCATGAATTATTGGTATCATGGTATCACCATGATACCAATGGTATCACCAGTTTAACATGAGGTTTTCTGGCAGGAGACAACTTTCATTGTCAGCTGCAGTCTTGCAAAAGCCCATGGAAGTTACATGACCTGCAGACATGTGTAACTCATGCCCTGCGTCACCCTACGAATACAGTACTTCTTTTGCTCAGAAAGCTTTGCTCTACTCAAATAAAACATTTCTTGCCCTTGCCCCACAAGCTGTATTCAACATTAGCACTTCATATTGATAATTCTTCTTTTGGAATAGTGATATACCAGTTGTGCACACAATGATTTGTAATAAAGTAATTTCTGTCTCTTTTAAGAGACTATATGTAGATATTGAGGAGGTTATAATTAGTCATTTCTTATCGTAAGAGAAGGCTGTTCCTGAAGGATATTATCCCACATTCAGTAGTGCAATGCAACAAACAGATTTTACTCAGTCTCAGTTTTCATGTCTTGCTGTGGTATAAATATTCCATGCAGGTCCATATGCATGTCCACATTTACTATGGCTCGACCCAGCTCTGTGAAAGTTTTAGCATCCAAGATAAGTAGGAAGGGTGGATCCTTTGGATCAGACTTCACAACACAGGTCAGAACAACACCTGTGACATACAAATGAAGAATTAGAAACATAGAAAAGTTTCACTAAGCAGAAAAGATAACCTTGTATCAAAGTGGAAGCATCAACCCAACCTTCTTGACTAAGAATATTGAAACTTGTAAGATTTAATACAAAACTCATGTAACCCCCAGCTTTCAGAACGTTGTCATTATTTTACCATCGTCCTCTTCTTTTCCATCAGGGTTGGGAACAAAAACAGGCTCGGATGGCCAGCAGTCATCCTCTCTCCAGTGGACCATTTCCTTTGTCTGGGTATTAAATTTTGCAATCTACATGGTTGTAACAAGAAACGAAAAATATCAGTGACCCTGACAGTGGCTTTTTCCAAAGGTACAACAAGAACAGACTGCTGACAGGGAGGACCAATGCTAAGAGTTAAGGCAGGTATCATCACAAGAAAAAACACCAGGAAAATGTTAGATTTTGGAGTCACATTTTATGGCTGCATAATCACACAATGTTCTTTTAATTTCATTTCATTAGATTACAATTGCACCTTTCATTTACAGGTGTTTAATAGTTCATAAATGTTAACAGGCCACAAAAGACCCTTCACTATAAGTAATGGCCCTCACTGCAGAGAGTCCAAGACACAGAATATTTAAGTGACTTGTTCCAAATCACTGAGATTATGTAGTAGAGCAGGAAACAGGATTTAAACTTGCCATTTTCTAATCCTGTAAATTATCCTCTTTTTATTGCTACTTCCATATTCCTCAAGGCCTTCTATTGTGCAGTAGGGTACATATGGCAGAAGAAAGGCTGTTCCTAGTGAGGTGTGAAGATCAAAGCAGTGAGGCAGACACTGGTGTTCACTGAAGGAACAGAGTGTGGATTTTCATCCCACTGAGTGGCCAAACCAAGGGCCAGAGGGGATGCCTGGCATTTTCAGTTCAATTCCATTAAGGCCTTTTCTCTACCCATAGAGATGCAATTCTATTCTTTTCCATTTTGATCTTTAGCCAAAAATTACGTTTACACAAAAGTGAAACTATTCAAATGACTGGAGGAAGAATTACAAAGAATTCTTTCCTCTAGCCAAGATGACAGCACTTTCACTGACAGACTTTACCTAAGGATTAGGTTGTTGGGCTTGCGTTCATTAAACTGCAACTGATGTGAAAAAACATCCTCCTACCATTATTTTTTATTATATTTGAGTCAAGCAGAGATTATCTACACTGTAAATGAGCTTGCAGATTTGTTTTTGTCAGATGTGCTGCAATAAATTTTCTTGCATCATGCAGAAATCCAGCTCTATTTTGTAATCAGTTGTGGTAATTATATGCAAGAACCAACAGTGACTGCAATTTGTGCTGCCTTGTAGTCACAGAACAAGAATTGTAGAGCATGAGCTTGTCCATATAATACTCATACATTTAAATCTTTAATTTACCTTAATTTTATTTAATCTTTATATCTTAATTAAATACTTTCCCTGTTAATCTATTTGTATTCTAGGCTGTCTTCTGGCATCATGCACATGTAAACAAAGCATTTACTACCTCTAAGAAAGAACTAGCCAGCAAAATATAAAGTTTCCCAAAAATTAGATATTGCTTTAATAGTTAAAATTTATTAGGTAGTATTACAATATCTTATTTTTCTGCTAGGCTTCCTAAAGGGAAAAAATATTAAATATATACATGTAAATAATACTTCTTTTTCCTACTCGCTCCTTTGTAGTTCCTGGCACATCACAGAAGGTTCAGCCCAATTTAGCAGAAAAGTGAGGGTCTCAGTAGCTATTCAAGAGACTTTCATGGAACATAAAGCTGGAGTAAGAAGCCTGAGTTTATGAATACTTTATGAGGGAAATGGTAAAACATGAACTTATTCTTATGAGAATTTAGGCATTTCATGTTTCTTTGCAGTGAATGGCCCAGCAATGGGAAAACACTGACTTTATAAATGTTAAGCATACCTCTGTAGGAACTGGACTCCACTGGACTTGTGTTGCAAAGACATACTTGTATTTTTTGCCATTGTAGTCATAGTTGATGCGAGGCAGTTCTATCCCTGTGTAAAATAAAATTCAAGACTCAGGAACAAGACAAGAGAAAACCCCAAATCAACATCTATATAGACACACCAATCTTCAGGACATTTTGCCTGTAAAAAACTTTGGAATTTCTTAATAAAAGTGTTGTATAGACTTGGAATGTCTGAATTTGTAAGAATCTGAAGATGGGTACTAACACAAGTAAGCCAGGGCTGTTAGTTTAAAAGGCAACAATTTTTTATTCTTAGGGATTCATTACACTGGAATTAATGAGGTTTTTCTGGTTTGGGTTTTTTTCTTTCTTTATAAATACATGATGTGAATAACGGGGATAGAATTGGAGGCTACCATTCTAAGAAATGACTTTTACATTAGGTAATTCTGTATTTACATATTCCTGCTATTATGCCCTGATCAAAGGTTAAAAATACTCTTTCAAAGGCAATCTTTATAAAATGCAGCTAAACTTGAAGTACTACTCATAACAGACTTATTTAACTCAAATTACACTTCTAGCAAGTAGATTTGCAAGCCATATTAATATCAGACTTGGAATCCTGTACTAATACAAAACTGGTGTAGCATCAGATATTTAAAGGAGCTATCTGACCTTCACATAGTATTTCAGGTTGGCAATAGATGCTTCCATCTTTCTCCTTTACAGCAGTTGCAGTAGAGGAAAGTGTGACTAAATTAGAGCCCACTAGAGCATCCTGAAAGAGAAAAATGCTGGAAATGTCATGGATCCCTAAAATGTGCTTCTAAGTTAGATTTTTCATCAGGTTTGATATTGATATTAACAATTTGTAGATTAAACAAATAAGCTTCAAGAAGATCCTTCTTATGGCATTTTAGATTCTGAGGTTTTCATTAGAAATCTTGTTGCACTCAGAGTATTTTAATATATCATAAAATAGTTATTTTGAATCACACTGAGTCCTTAGAAATGTTTAGATACACATGGCTATGGTCCAGAAGTACCATAAATTTGAGAATTTAACGAATGAAGATGAGTTTCAAGGAATAAGGTGTCAAATTTTCACTGAAAGTCACCAAGGTTAGATTTTTGCACCTGCTAAAAATCAAGTGCAAAAATAGGTGTGATATACTCTCAATGTCCTACTACTGAATTCTTAAGATTGCAGAACAGCTGGTGTGATCCAATACATCCTTTGTCACTGCTGCAGAGCTGTTTCTGAGAAAAGAACAGAGCAGCAATGTTCTAGGATGTAGACAGACAAAGTAATATCCATTCCAAAGGTATCAGGCAGAAACTTGCCCAAGTATAAAGTCTTCCCTGCAAACAATGATGTAAAGTGATGCTTTAAATTAAACTAAAAGATAAAATCTTTTCTCTTCCTCTGTATATCACACTTAAAAGAAATCTTCACATTTTAATTGAACCATTGCACCATTTGGGAGCATGCATTAATTGTACGTGGGCTTCCAGTGAAGTGTAAGAAACAGATTGTGCAAAACCTCATGCATGCCATTGCAGTTAACAGCCACGTGGGTCTATCTGCTGCTGTTTGATGGCATTTAACAAATAATCTCATTGGGAAGAAAACAACGAGTCCTTCACAGCCTTGTTCTCCAGAGTGGATGGTGTCAGAACCAGGATCCAATCCACTCAACCATGGCCAGCTGCCCACTGCCATTTCCCACAGGACATATAAAACCCAAACCTCCTGCACTCTTTGGGGATGACAGAATCAGAAATTTACACATAAGGGCTGGCAACTAATAATGCATCCATTATTCACACTGATATATTTTAAATTACCAATCAGAAAACAGGTTAAAAAGTAAATTTCTTTCTACCTTGTCATACTGAAGAGGAACCACAAATCTTCTGCAGGTTGGTATGGAGGTAAGTTTGGCGTTCTTTTCAAAGTCTCTATTCAGGTTTTTTAAATAAAACATGTCATATAAGCTATTGTCTGTGTAGGCAATAATATCAAAAACAATGTGGCCATCCTCTTCATAAGCATTTACATGATGAAAAAACACCAGAGCATCAGTGTAAAACTTGGTGGGCACTTCTTTTTTAGTCCTCCTGTCTATAAAGTGAAACCAAGTCTGAAAGAGAGAAAACATTATTTAAAGCCATTCAGAATCAGCAAATAGTTATTTAGAAAACTGTTTTCTAATGGTAACCACCAACATTCTAATCACTGTGTATGAGTACTGAAGGATATTAAGATATCAGGGATTGCTGCTAGCAGACAAGGGGTTCCAACCTGAAGAGAACACAGCAGTAAAATGAGTGTGGAACAGCTTTAAGCTCATTTTACTGTGGCAAATTACTATTTGGGCTAGGCTGAGGATTGAAGTTTTCCAGAAAAACCTGGAAAGTCCCCTGCTCTCTTTTTAAGTTAAATAAATCTGCCTTGATTGAAAGTTTCGGTGGTGGTGGTGGTGGTGCCCTGTACCTCAGCAAGTCCCATGTGTTGATGCCCAGAGCATGTAGAAATAAGATCCTCAGAAAACAGTTTTTCCCTCAGTTTCCAGTGAAAGACTCTTGTTCAGTGCAGGCTTTTCCACCAGTGGGATTCTCCAGCACATGCAATGCACCTGGAGCAGATCTCACCCACCCCAGACCAGGACCAGGAGCAACTGGATCTGTCTCAGATGTTAGCACAAATTGGAATTTCTCTGCTAGGACACAATATTTCTAGGACTGCCAAATTAGCCTCTCACGCAAGAGCTTCAGCATCAGATATTATTTCTGGATATGGGAGACAATATTCCAGACCATACAGCCTCCAAAAACAAATGTGCAACATGAAAGTCAAGGTTTGAGGAAAAAAAAAAAAAAGTAGTAACTAGTAAAATGAATGAACCAGATGAAAAACAGAACAGTGTGGAAGAGGTCACTGGCCTGCCTGATTCCATTGCTCAGCAGCAGGAAAAGTACCTTATCATCCTTATTAAAGGCAAGGCAGGAAGCCCAGGTGACACCTCGCATGTAAGCAGTTGCCATTTTGAGAATATCCAGTTTGAAGGGCTGCTCTATGAAGACAATGTAGTTCTCTGTGATTCCAAAGCTGTGGTAGTAGCTGGGGTGGAGCAGAGAGTGAGAAGGGATGGAGCAAACCACTTCCAGCTGCTTGAAACAAGATTTCTTCTTTCCTTGTTCTGAAGATTAATGATAAAAATTAAAATTCTATTTCTAATTAATTCTATTCTAAACTTGTGCTTGGATTTCTCCCAGGCAGGGAAGAACTGGCTCCTCTCAGTTTTATTTGCATTTTCCTGTTAAGAAAGTGTTTGTTTACTCTGTAAAATTAACATAGAACTTTGCATGCAGGAAGCAATGCAGTGAAGTCACACTAATGGATCCATTCAGGCACAACCCGCTTGCCCCGGGATTTGATTCCACTGATTGTCTTCAGAAATTCCAGCATGGAGGAGAAATATGTTTAATTAAATCAGCAGCTTTAAAAAGGGGTTCAAATGCCCCTGTGTTTTTTAACTTCTAAGGAGATGTTCCCAAATTTGAGACCCGGCTAGAAATTGCAAACTGGTCTTTCAGCTGTGGAAGACCTCTTGATTGTTCAAGAAAGGAACAGGCAACACAATAACAGCTGATTTTAAACAAGAAACACAAAAAAAAAAGATCTTGAAGGAAAAAGAGCAAGGGATTTGCTCTGTGAACAATGGACAGCATTTCAGCAAGGGCCAGTATTGGCCACGTTAGACAGGAATTAACTCCATATTAGGTTTTATTTGGTATCATGCTTCCACTATTATCATAGTATCAGCATTTGAAGAGAATTTTAATTTACAAAGAAATAAAAATTTACAACTTCAAATTATGTGCACTGCCCTATAGAGAAAATTGTTTTAGAATCTCCATCTAAAAGTAAGGTTCTTCCTACTGAAACACCCTGTTTACACAATACTTTGTAACAGCACATGCCCAGACAGGCTAAGCAGTTAATATAAAGTTCACAATAAGTTGAAATTAAGAAAATGAACACCATTGGTTACTAGAACAGCTGTATCACCACCCTTGCCCTTTAAAGAAATGAAATTGCAAACAAGTTTCTAGAAAATACCAATAACAGATATATCTTACCTGGTACAGAGGCAGGAATCTTAAACAGAAGGTATTTTGTCTTCCCTTTATCAACTATTGAAGTGCCCATGTTGAGAACATTTCCAGCACTGTCATAGTGTGGGTGAGAAGTTGCCAGATTTACAGATATATATTTGCTGTAGTCAACCTGGAAAATGACACAATAAGAGATTTGAGACATGTGTAAGAGAATGAAAACTGATCTCAGCTAACACCACAAAACCAGCAGATTTTTAGCCCTGGCAGCCTTATATTGGCACTCCATTTACAAATGGCTTTGAAATTTAAATAATGAAACCAAAACATTTGTTTAGGTATTCAAATGATCTCCTTATTCAAGGCTAAATCAAGTTACAGAATTTGAATTAGAGCCACCTCTCACTTGAAGCCACATGACATCAGGGAGGATTAGCTAAGCAAGTTATTCTGCAAATGCCCATTTCACCCTGAAAGCACTTTATTTAACAGAGCTGTCTGGCAATCTGCTGGAGCTAAAAGATTTCTATTTTATCTGAAGTTTGGAAATCGGACTCAAAGTGTAGTGTGCACTAGAAAAAAAATTCATTGTATATATTTCAATATCTCAAGTTCTCATTTTAACAATTAAATAAAATCTTATATAAGGTCCTTGAAAAGTAGTCACATAACTGACCTACTGATTTTTTAATTACGTAAATAATTTTATAACTACAGATACATAATAATGGCAATCACCCAAAATAATCATGTAACTGTGCTATTATTCTTGCAACCTTCCTAGATTATATACAAGTGAAATTGCTTAAAGCCCAGCTTTTCCCAAACTAAAGATTTAAATTTTAACTCAGGAGTTCTTTCTTAAAAGATATCCTTTATCTTTTGGTATCTTCACAATTTCACTTTACCACATCCTTATGACTCAGCCTGAAATTTATTTATCAGCAGACAAAGAACCAGAATGGCAGATGGTGGTTTGTACCTTCTCCAATGTCTCCAGAGTCTGTGGATTAATTTTCCTGATGAAGTTAGTCTCACCAGTAGCATAAAAATCATCCCCAGCTTTCATAAGGTTGATCAGACAGTTGTCTGTGAACTCAGGAATGGTGTGAGACAAATAGGAGAATGCCCTGTCCAGAGGGAAATTTCATTAGAGCCACAGAAGCCAGAGCTGCCTTTCCCCCACGTGGAGCACAAGTGACCCTGCAGTGCCACCGACCTGGGGCTGCCTCTCCCTGCTGTGCCCACTCCTGGCAGCTCCCTGGAAAGGGGGGGAAAGCAGAGGAGATGGACTTCTCCAATGCCCATGGCCTGGGTGAGGGTTAAGGACATGCAAGTAGCTGGTTTTGACACACAAATGGGCATCCAGGTCCATTCCCACTGCCAGCTCTAGACATGCACTGATTTATCAGGATGGGTTAATTACACACTCTCCTCTGCCTGTCTTGGGAAAATTTGGCCTACCAGTTCCTACTTAAAAGCTGAGAGGTTGTTTTAGCTTCATCAAATAGATGGATTCATATACTCCCCAATGGAACATTTTTGTTACCAGTGTTATTCCACATCATAATTATGACTTCAAAGAAGATGAAACATCACATAGGCTTGACAGTTTTCTTTATCAGTGTATGATTTCATCACAGTCACTAGAAGCCAAGACAAAGTTGCTATTACCCTTTTGAACTTAAAATGCCAGAGTTACTCTATTGCTATTGGAAGAGGGAAGAAAATCTCATCTCAGGGGAACAACTTACAACATATCAGCTATTTTGCAATAACTGTCTGTATATGTGTCCTTATCAGGTCTGTGTATGTGAACCTTACCAGGTTCAAGGTCACCAGAGGAAGTTTAGTGGCAAGAAAGAGAGAAGGGTAACCTATTTGCAATTATTAGTGAATCCTTACAGCCAATTTTACAAGACCAAGGATAACATGATGGCCTGCACCTCACCTTTCTTTAATCAAAAAGTTTTTCTAATTTTTTGTAGCTATTGATGCTATTGAGCCATTGATGTATTTTTTTGTTGAATAGGCTTTGTATTAATACCTTCCCCATCTCTAAATGTTTTCCTTTCTTGCTGCTTCTCCCCTTACACAGCATCAAAATGTTTCACTAAGTGGAGAAAATGTTTGTTTTCTATATAATCTACTTGTGCTACTGAATAAAGCAGCAGATATTGGTGATAAAATGAATTTAAGATACTTACCTTAGACTAACCCATGGGCAGTTCATGTCTCTTGGCCTTTTCAATATTTAGCAATTGTAAATTTACAAATCAACATTGTATTTGTACATATGTGTCAAAGGTAAACAGAAAGACATCTGTGCTGAAGAGAGAAGTAGATAGAAGAATCTTCTTGGGAAAAGCATTGCTTACTTGGCAAATATGTTTTTGCACGGATCTGGATAAGCCATAGTCCCAAACTCAGACACCACGATTCTGTTTGCTTCTATGTTACAGTTGTACGTGTCACTTCGGAGAAATTTACTTCTGTAGTAAACTTCACCTGAGGAAGAACAAACAAGTCTGAATCACATTTTATACTTAGTCCTTAAAAAATTAGCACAGGTAGAGCCAGAGCTCCTCAAGCAGCTAACAATAGTTTGGAATGAAACCAACAATATCCCCAACTGCCTGTTTTAAAGGCTTTATGGCTGCTGAGACTGGTAACAGTTTGTCAAGATTTCCTGACTCTCCCTCCTAATACTTTTCAAGGGAAAGGAGGAATTTGGATAAACTGTTCCAGAAAATAAAACAATGTGCGCAAAAATGATTAATTATACAATCCATTTACAGTGGTGAAAAATCTCCTGTATTGGCAAACTTTAGTCATGGGAGTAACAGACTGCTTGAAGGAATCAACAGTTTAATGAATACTTGAACTAACTGAGCTCTGTTTGCTTTAGGTAAGTAAGATATACTGGCAATTTAAAAAACACTGATTATTTCTTTATAGGTTATTTTGTTAAGGATGTAGAGCTGGACAGGCTGGAGATCCTGCAATGGCATTAAATGCTTCCAATCACAGAAATGGGAACTAAAAAGTAAATACTAGGATTAGAGGATAACAGGAGTAAATCCCATTTTTTAAAATAAATACACATTTTTTGCCACAAGAATCCAGGTGTAAACCATCCTGTCTCACGCTGTGTGATAGCTGAATAGGTGAAAAATGTTTGAACTGAAAAAAAAGAAATTGAATTGTTCAGGGTAGATAGCTGCCTGTTTTTCCTTCATAACGATGACAGGCAGGAGGAGAGACTGTAGGGTGTCAAATATACTGAGGTTTGACATGTGCAGTGACACAGTGGCCCAGTTTCTCTCCTGGCAGCTGTTAGAGCTGCAACCAAATCCCAAAAGGGGAGTGCTGGTCCTCCCTGAAACTGAGCTGTTCATCCACAGCAGAAGAGCCTCTGGGCACCACAGTCCCTGTGGCTGATCCACAGGAAAAAACAGAGGTTTTCTTGGCCCAGGTGGAAGGTGAAGGCTGCCCTGCAGTGACCTGCCCAGAGCTGGGTTTGTGCTGTGCTGGGGTGACAACAGCTCTGAACTTCAGCACTGCAGAAGGAAGGACAAGTAACATCTCCCTGCACACAGCCCTGCAGAGACACTCCAGCTGCTGCTGTGAAGGGTGAGGTGTCAGGGAGTGTGTGGAGAGACTTCCCCCACAGCAGCTCCCCCCTCACACAGCACTCTGCAGACAAAACCCACAACTCCCCAAGCCAGCTTGGAACAGAATTAGCAATGTAAGGCACCAAAGTGTGGGTTGTTGAGTTCCTTTCAATCCAGTGTGCAACAACTTACCATTTTTAAATGTAAAGCTGTGCAGCAGAGCCAGGCCATCAAACCAGTGGTTGTACTTGCTGTCCCCTATGGTGTGCATCCCTGGGCCATTTCGGAGCAGGATCCCTTGCAACCATGTGGGCAGCTGCCCTGTAAACAAAAAGGTCATTACCTATTCATTTAAGCAAGGAGAATGTTCCAGGATAGTTTTCCTAAAGGAAACTTCCTTAACGTAGTCAGACAGACTGTAGGTGCATTGAGATTTGCAATACCATATAATTATATTGAAGTTTGGGTTAACTAAAATTTCCCCTACTCAAAAATGTGGCACTAGTGACATTCTGCATGATTATTGCTATCAAAGATTACTAAAACAAAATGAGATTGCTGGAATGTAATTTGTTAATTATCAGGAAGCAAATAAAATTGGACCTTTCCTTCCTGCATTCATATTTTACAGTGATACAATTAAACCCTTCTACTTGTGCCAGAAAAAGCTCAAGCTTATCAGAAATAAACATATTGTATAGGTTATATGATTTGCACTGGCTTTCAGCACATCAGCTCAGACTTCAGGCTAAATTAATTTCACTAAAATTTCATTAATTAGATTACACGGCATAATATAGTGTCATTTGGGAAGTGCTTTGTGACACTAGTCATAATGTAGTGCTTTGTACACAAAGTATAGGAATATTCTACTGAAAATGTATAAGTGCTGTTGAGACTTGAATCATAAATGTTCCTCATCAAATCCCTGTGAGAAATGCATCACCTACTACTTGAATCACAGAATAATAACAATTAAAGAATGTCAATAGGTTTAAAGAGATTAAAAAAGGCATATCAGATATTAAATAAAAAGCTTGACTGGCTTCTTTGTGCATATGACTCCTGAGGGAACATTTAGGTTCACATACTACTTCTCCACACAATTCCTGCACTAGGTATTGCTTTTGCATAAAAAGCTCTTCAGAACTTGTATTTCTCCTTATCATTTAGTTTGGGATTCCACACTGATTATATTGACACACTTTCTTGTTAAAACCCCTTTACAACAGGTAGAAATGTTCTCCTATGCACCTTAAAAATTAACTCATTCCAACCCCTGCTTTGGGCAGGTCTGGTAAACCAGGTTGCTCAAAATCCCATCCAGCCTGGCCCGAGCAATTCCAGAGATGGGGCAGCATCATTAAGGCATAACTCCATTAGGGTTACAGTTCTGGAATACATGAGGTACATTAAAAATTGACACAATGGAAGAACTTTCATCATCATCATTATTGTTGCTGTTGTTATTTTCTAAAAGAGCCTGGAAAACGAAACCTTACTTCCCTTTCTAACATAAGAAACTACAAGGTAATAACTATAGTATATTTTTATTTTATGATAGTTTTGCTGGGAAAGAAAAGAAAGGGAAAATGATATTTGTAAAGCACTGTGGACTTAATTCAGCTTCTGAAATTTCTGGTGCAAATCCACATAATTTCAGTGTGAAAAACAAGGAGCAAAGGGTCAACTAGTGAGGTTTTCAGATAATTCATCTTAGATGGAATTAAGCATTCCTGTAAATCACACTGGGTATCAAATCAACACCCAAAACTGCTTATGCAGCTTTAAAAATGTGGACTTTATTCTTTTCTGTAATGGATGATGACACATTAGTGACACAGTGAAATCCCCAAATATTTGGACATTTATTAACTATGGTAACAATAGAATCTCAGAAAATCATATGGCTGTAGGAGAGCATGGGTTAAATTGCAGCTGATGTCAGAAGTGTGATAGATATCTACAGTGCACAGCTTGAGCAACAAGGAGCCAAAATACTGGCAGAGCTCAGGACTACCAAAATATTTGAAGAGGTCGTGATTCTCTTTTATTTCCTTTAGCAAAGAAGGAATGTCTTGCATGTATAACTTTACCTTCTTCAGAAGGCACGCAGTCTTTGTTCAAATAAACTATTGCATAATACAGATCAGGTTTGATACATTGTTTGTTTGCAAATAACTTCAAATTTTTTGATAATAAGTTGTTATCTTGAGAAAAAAATAAACCCATAAAAGCATGAAATAATTCAAAGGCATTAAAACAAAGCACTTTGCCTAATTTGGCACAAAATCTTTTTCAATTCAGCCACGAAACTGAACAGCAACAAAGCCCTGCAAGTTTTAAGTTTTGTACTTGGGAATGGCAGATTCCTAGCATTGCTTGGACTACGTATCACAAGCAACACAGCCAAGATTTACTAAGTAGGGGATCCCAGCAACAAACCTCTCCTGTAGTTGTATGAAAAAAAGTCTTCTGTAGAATAAAAGAAATCAAGACAAATAAAGGGTTGGTCGAGTATTGTAAAATGCAGGCAAACCCGGTAGGAAAAAATGATGTCTGACTCCAGTTCAGAAGGCTGAATGATTTCTTTATTATAACTATGCTATAATACATTAATATACTATTTAAAGAAGATACTAAAACTACATAGCTACTTTTTTCTAACTACTGTATCTAACTCACAACTCGTGACACTCTGGCGAGAGTCCAGCCCTAGGTGGTTTGGATTGGCCATCAGGCTCAAACAATCCTCACCACACTCCAACCAAGCAGTCACCCCAGCTAAACAATTCTCCACACACATTCCACATGCGTAAAACGAGCAGAAATAGAAAATGTTTTCTCATTCTTTCCTCTGTGCTCCTCTATGAAAAATCCTGAAAGACAGAAGAATGTCCCTGCGACAGGTCGAGTGTCATCCTTATCCTAGAGAGCCATTTTAAACTGCGTTGCCGAAGGATACCCCGCAGTTTCTCCTCTTTTTAACGCTACCATGTGGCATCCTGTGCGGCTGCTTTGCCACGTAGGAGTGCCGCCGGTGAAGAGCCCCGATTTGAGAGCCCCGATTTGAGAGCCCCGATTTTAGAGCCCCGATTTGAGAGCCCCGATTTGAGAGCCCCGATTTGAGAGCCCCGATTTGAGAGCCCCGTTTTGAGAGCCCCGATTTGAGAGCCCCGATTTGAGAGCCCCGATTTGAGAGCCCTGATTTTGGAGCCGTCCCCAGGAGCTCCGGAGAGAGGAGGGCAGGGGAAGGGTGCAGAGGAGAAAGCGAAAGCGGGAGCAGAGCCTTGGGGGAGGGAGCGTCCGAGATGGAATCCCGGGCTCTTCCTCACACCAGCTTCAGTGAGTCCTGTTCAAACACTTTCGAAAAGTACACAGAGATGCTCACGGAGCGAGAAGAATCCCCCAGTAGCGTCACAAAAACTATCTGAGATCAGCCCTTTAAACAAAATTCCCTTGCGCCTCTCTTTCACTTTCCCTTTCGGGCGAAGAAGAGTCGCAGTTTTTACGGATCGGAAAACACCAAAAGAGAGGCTGCTTTTACAACAGATTTGCTTTCACTTACCCTGCACCTCAGCTTTTATGGGCTCTGGGTGCTCCTCCTTGTTCCGGCCATAGAGCGTATCCATCTGTGCCCGTGCCCGCCCGGCCGCTCTGCCCGCGCCGTGCCCCGCTCTGGGCTGAGGGCGGCTCTCTCCTGTTACATATAAAGATAAGGTCAAAGTGCAGCCCGAGCTGCTGGCTTATAGATTGACTATTTATAATAGCTGATCTTTAATCCCCAGAACATACGCTCTAATTCTTGCACATTCGTATTAAAATTAACTCTTCCGGTAGCTCGAAGGGGAAGTAAGGAATACGTGGACTCTGCTGTTTGCTCCTTAGGGGCCTGGCAGAGGGAGGCAGGCACACCCGGCTGGAGGGGCTGAAACATCACCTGCAGCTGTCCAGGTAAATGTTAGACACTGCTAGGGATGCTTGTCCCATTGTCTGGTAGGAAGATAAAAAGAAAGAGGAAAAGAAATCTCTGCTCACTGTTCTGGATGTGGCACTTTGGGAATGACAAACACTTAAGAGCAAGGGATCATCCTTTTCTTTTCATTCTGTGATTTTAAACTGAGCTGTTCTGTAAATTAACAAATTATCACCATGGAATAGTCATGTAGTCTATTTCTTTATGTACAAGCTGTTCCAGAGTCAACTGAATGGCACATCTTTGAACTAAATATCTTCTCACTCTACCATATTTTCCCATATGTGACCCAAATCCACCTATGAAAGTATGGCAGGATTCCACAAAACTAAGGCAGAGTTTTAGCTTCATGCTTTTGTTTCTAGATAAGGTACTTAACTGAGTTCAATGTTGCTAATTTAAAAATCCTCTGGAAAGAGAATTATTTCAATATAAAGCATGTGATTGCAGAGTAAATCTTAGGCTCCATTGACCATGAAGGATAAAGAAAGTCTTTGCACAATTATATATTATGCAATTTCATATGGGGTTACCCTAAAATCCGATTTTTTTCAGCTGAATCACCATTGTTCCCAAAATGTTTAACATCACTTTTTAAGACTGACTGATCTCTTAGAACTATAACAGCTATTTTATTCAAAACACAATTTGTGCTACAGACTCTTCTGACACATTTATTATACATCATTTCTCTTCTCCAAACCTCCTGTCTGTTTGATGGCTGATCTTCACTCGGGGAGATCATCACGACAGTGTGCCTTGGTCTCTTTTGGAAAGCACTCACGGAAGCAGATGATAATAAAATAAAAAGCCAGATTAGAAGACAAAATATAAGGTTTTTTTTTTTTTTTTTTTTAATTAGTAATACTAATGAACAGCAGAATTGAGCCAGAAGGCTGCAGGAGAGGAAGGAGATCAAAATCCACAAATATATGGAGATACAAACACACAGACCTGCATATCCACCATACATATGCCTGTGGGTATTTGCATGTTTCTGAGAGTGTGTGTGTGCATTGAGATGTTGATTCGCTTTTTACACAAAGCCAAGTAAGGGATTTTTCAGCAATGTTAGGGACTGAAAAGGATCTGGCAATAAACCAAAGCTGCCCAAGTCTACTCTCACTAAGCCATGGGGACTTTTTCTCTCTCCACAATGTTGTGTTTTGCTTTAATATGTTTGTTTCAGTGCATCCTCATCCATTTATGTCTGCACTCTTAATGCTGCAGTTTTAATTATCTGACCTGTGAGATGTCTAATCTGTAGTGTTATTAAGATTTCCATGGAGCAAGCAAGCAATAAAAAGATTAATTCAAACCTCTTTTGCCTCCTCTACACCATGTGTTCATGTAGGTTAAGGTTCAGCCATGATGGGATAATTGGAAATCTTGTTAAAAGTTGTCTGATTGGAAGAACAAGGAGCTGCAGATATCCAACAGCTTCTGAAATCAACCTAAATGTGCTTGGTAGCTAATTTTAGGTGTCTGTGACTGAAAGTTTTGTCTTATATGTTGTACAGTTTAAATAAAGAAGCTTTATGAAGTTAGTTTTCCCTGCTTGTCAGTAAAAAAATATTTCATTTACCAGCAAAATATTTTTTATTGTTTTCATCACACTAATGACAAATAAGCAGTTCAGTATAGTGTGGAGATTAATTTTCTTGCTAACTGTGTGATTTCCCCTCCTTTTACATTGAAATGGCAAAATATAAAAGCATTGATTTACAATTATAATGTGTAACTATAAGCAGTAGAGGATGTGGATTAGGTGATTTTTCTAATTTTATTATTTCACAATGTTTCTTCTTGTTGCAAAATCCTTCAAATATAAATCTTCCCCCAAACAAATCTCACATTTCTCTCCAGAGTTTCCTGTATTCATCCCTCATGACAACATTTGTGCAGTCACCAGCTCCACACCACATGCAGATTTGCTTCACTCATTTCTCTCTGCTCTGAACAACAGTGGTGAAGGTCACAAGCTGTTTCCTCTTGGGCCCTTTCTCACTTTCACTTCCCTCCAGTCTCTGCATGCCCTGAGCTTCTCTCCCAGCCTTTAAAAGGGCCATGAAGACATTTTTGGAGGCTGGAGGTTGCATTTTGTGTGTGATCTCTGTGGTTAATCTAAACACAGCTTTCCAAGGCAGCAGAGCTTGTTAACTGCATTTCTAGGACAACAATAATGTCACTGACGTGTGCCTACCTTTGTACTTTTGGTTTACTTAGCAAGAAGCAAGTTATTGCCTTATAAACCACAGAGAGACCAATAAAATTCCTTATCTTCATTGTACTTAATTTATTTTAATCCCGGTCTTTTGCTTATAGAATCTGAGTTCTAATTAAAGCCCATTAACAAAGATCAAATTGACTTGACATATATGACTTTAAGCTGTGCTAAGAACTTTCTGCTATCAACAGTTATCTATTACTAACAAATAAAACTCCAATATCAAAACTGATACGAACTTATGGGAATTGGGAAGCTGATCTCTCTTCTAAGCTGTTGGATATCTTCTCGTAAGAGACATTATCAATGAAAACATCTTGTAATAAAGCTTTTTTCCCACTCTGTTTCCACACCCTGTAAGCTCTGAAATAGCTCATAATAAGCAGAAACAAAATATGTAACTAAATTAAATAAAACAAACAAGAGGTGGAAACTTAAACACCTTAGAAGTTTGGCCAGCTTTACACTTGTGGAAATCCGGAGAGAATGCAGAGACAGTGGCTGTAAATGATGGCTGTAAATTCAGATCCAAGCAATTTATTTTATCTCTGTGTGTGCTGGGCAAAGTTCAGTCCATTTGTATCTACCAGTTAATGTTTTATCCAAAGAGGGCACCTTTAACACATTGAACAGTTCTCTAATTAAGATATTAAGGCAATGGAAGATCTAAATTGTGCCACTTAGTCAAACATGATCACAAGGACACATGAGGTGTCGTCAGGTTCTTGAGATAGTTCTGCTCCTTTCTGAGAAAGCTTGGGGCTAAATTTAGCCTTCAATAAACACAGCTAAATAAATATTCTTATGGGGCCCACTTATCCTCTTCTTCCTAGCAGTCAAAGTTCTGCTCTGCCAGCAATAACACAGGGGAAAGAGTTGAGAAAGAGGCAGGGACTGAGGCATCAACTGTGGCAGAGAGGAAAGGCCATCTGTGAGCCTAAAGGCAATGCCAGACACTTCCCAGGGGACAGTTCCTATGAGAAGACCCTCAGGGACTTATCCAGGTGATGACATATCCAAGTAACTATACGCATCTTATAAACAGCTGTTCAAACCAACAGCTCCTCAATGTAATCCTACTTATCTTTATCCTGACCCCATCATGGCAGGCATGAACGTCTAATTTAATTATTGCACCCTATACAGATAAGAATTGTTTCCCTGTTTTTATAAACAAGATAACATCAAAATTGCAACTTGGCAGGGATCACTGGTAAGTGCAGTGAGTTGCCTCATGGAAAATTAGACAGTAGAAGCAACAACAAGACCAAACCCTTTTCAGTCAGCAATAACAGGGTCCCACCATCAGGATAAGCAGCACAGGAGAGCAAGGAAGGAAGTGGGGTTGTGATCCACCTTCTTAAACTCATTGGCAAATGAGTATTTTTAAAGCCAACTGAAGAGATGAAAGGTGTAGGTATAGGTGTAGGTGTAGGGTCTCCTCAGGACTCAGTACTTCCTACCTATCAGGATAACAGCATTCTTCACACTGCAGAAGTTTACATGACACAGTAAAATGAACTACTCATAATCTTGTCTCAAGTCCATGATACCTGAAAAAATCTTTTTTCTACCTCAAAGTCAAAGCAATAGAAAGAATTTTTCCATTTTTATGTTTATTCAATTAATAGAACACAGAGGTGTTTACATTCCTGATAAAAATCTATATAGTAATATTCAGGAATGTAGAGATGGTAATATCCTCCTATAGAGAGTAAATTTACCTGCTCTTCCTCAAGGCAAATGAACAACAGCCAAAATGAACAGGGGTGCCATTTATTCCTCCTCTTTGGCAGCTCTTCATTTCCTTAATTCTTCATATCTAGCACTTTCTGGTCTCTACTATGGATTGTCAAGCTATTCTGCAGTGCAGCAGTTTGAATCACAGGACATTCTCAGGCTGTCATGATGCAGCTGTGATCTGTGATCTGGGTACAGATCAGGACCACTCCAAAGTCAATGACTTCTAGCATAAGAAAGCTATTAAAAAAAAAAAATTCTGTTGAGGAAGAATGCAAAAGACATGTTTCCCACAAGAAGGTAAGTTGAAGGAGCACTGTTTACCTGACATAAGTGAGTCTCACTTATGAGTGACAAGGGTTTTCAGAAGTTTCTCTCTTCCTGGAGACTCTAGCTGCTAATTTTCATGCTTTAAAAGCAGTATTTTCTTTTCATGTAAATGCTTTTCTCATTCTTGGGGTAAACAATAAACTGACAGAATGCTTTCCTGGCACTAAAGTATAAAAAGTCAACAAACTGCCAAAGAGGGAAATTGTCTTTCTTCCACTCTCCATCTGCTACAGGCAGCTGAAGAGTAGCTTATAGCAACCGTAGATTAGGAAAAAAATGCACATTGCTATAGAAATTGCCAACAGTAGACTCACTCGGAGAGCTTGGCTTTATTTGTAGACATTTCCAAACATTATTTGTTCTTTTTCAGGGCCTATTTCAAAATCCATCAAAGCCAGAGACAAGACTTCCATTAATTTCAATGCCTTTGGAGCAGATTCACAGGGGAGAGCCTGTGGCATGCTCAGCCCTGGCATTTTTAGTATGTTCATGTAGTCAGATTTCCAGCAGCAGAGAAAGAACTGAACAATGCTACAGAACACATTCATCACAAAAGTGAGCTCCTACTGGAAATGTCTGTATCACCAAGCCAGTACATTTAAGTACAGTTTCTTTCATCATGCCTGTGCTTTCAGAAACAGGCTGTGCCTTTCTTATCTAGAAGGATAAAGTGGGAGGGCTGGATGCCAGCTCCTGGGAAGCCTGGCAAGTCTGCAGGGCCCAGGAAGAAGCAGGGAGTCTGGAGAAAGCATCATGCAAACATACAGTAGCCAACTAACTTAAATGCAGCTGCCCTCAGCTCTGACTGCTGCAACAGCCTGAATATAAAACACTTGGATTGGATGTTCCCAAACTGAAGCCTGTGAAGATTTTTATGGGGCTTGAAAGGGACTCCTAATTTGCAGACACCCACAAGAGAAGCAGCTGATAATAGTAGTTACACAGTTTCATCCAGGAAGGGGATGGGTGTCTGGGCCAAGTAGCTAATTAGAATATGGATTAGCCTTCTCCAGAGCTGGGAAATCCAGTCCCAGTATTCACATCTTAGCTGCTCCATAAGCTCTCCCTATTAATCAGCCAGAAATTCATGTGGGAGCTGCTCCAAGGGCTCCATAGCTAAACTCTTGATTTACAGGCATGGTGGGAAGGAAGACACCCAGAAAAGTGTATTTTCTTCTCCGTTCCTCTAATCCCCTATTATTTTCCTGCCCATTAAACACTTTCCAATTAACTTTATCTTGAAAACCCTGATAACAGTCCTGCTTTTTCCAGCTGAGCAAGACAGCCATAAATGGGAGGTCCAGAAAATTCTTGGGATTGAAGTTCACTCTCAGATGTTGACTGGATGCAGTGCATGCACTTGGCTCTGGCAGAAAGCTTTGGAGCTGGACTGGCACAGATGGGCACTGCCTTCAGCCCAGCAGTGCAGGAATTTCTGCAGTGCAGGAATCCATCAAACACTGCTGATTCCTCTGTGCTCTGGTAACTCTCACTGACCCATGTCTAAATATAAATGCATGTTCTTTCAGTTTTGGGTTATGGTGGTATAAATTAATAATAATGGCATCAAACTCAATGGAGTTAATGGCAAGGACAGGAGGATCACAATAGCTAAAAATCCTTACTTCTACTGTGCTTCTACTAAGCTGGTGGCTTTGTAAACCTGAGGGATATCTTTTATAAGGAAGTTGAGATGCATTTAGAGATTTCAACTCCTAAATGTTGCTGGGCTTGCTTCCCAAAGTCCATCATCAGCCTTTGGAATGTGCTAATAGGGTTCTCAAGTAGTTCTGATGATTAAGGCAATATTTTCACCTTTCCTAAACCATTGGTTTAAATTATGGCCTTCTCTTCTGCCTCCCAGCACGTATAAATACTGTAGCTCCAAAGAGCTGAGCAGCTTATCTTTTAAGGGATGATGGGAGCATTTCACTTGGGGTGTGGAATCTAAGCAGATACAACAGTTCAAACTGAAGTTTACTTGGAACAGCTGAGATGAAACTGCACATGCGTAAACAGGAGGGCAGGATGGATCTGATACAGTAATTATAGACATTGCATTAGCATCTAAAAGAAGCACCTCAATAATTGTTAAAAATAAAGACAAGACCAATTAAATGTATCTAGAGAAGCAGTGTGTATTCCCATCTCATAACTCCTTGTGTTTCTCATTTTTTTAATTTTCATTATTTTATCTCTTTGCTGTTGTAAAGACCTCCCAGCGTCAATGTTCACACAATGAAGCCTTTGATGTAGAAGCTTTATCTCACTTTTCCACATGTCCAACAGTAGCATATATCAACTTTATCTTTTGTGCTCACGAGGAAAGCAATGATTTAATGTCTTCTCCTCAAACTGATCTCACATGGGATGTGACATTTGTACAATAGAGCTCACAAGAGTCAGTGCAGGGGCTATAGACACAATCACAATTATATATTAGAAGTTCTGTTCTGTTCCGTGCTCTATTGCCATTGTTGTGGCAAGGAGCAAAGAGGAAGGAGAATGCTGATGACATGACAAGGATGATATCTCAAGCTTTTGAAGAAGGCAGCAAAAAGAGTGGTGTCCTGGTAAGCAAGACCAGTGGGATGCATGGCACTAAGCTGAGAATGTGGCTGGGGCTCGCAGTTCTGATTTCTCTTGCTGTGAGTTTGGCTGTGGAGGAAACAGCTGATGGAGGAATACCTTGTTCAAAGTACCAGCAAGCTTTCAACTATTCATGCTATGAGTTTGTTAGACTCCAGCAAACCTTCACAGGTGCCCAGAGCTGGTGTGAGAGAGGAGGAGGGCATCTTGTCTTTATTCACAATGAGGAAACTCAAGAGTTCTTGCAAAAACATATTGCTGAGGATCAGGAATGGTGGATAGGACTGATCTCAAACTCCTTGCTGAATGAAACTACTGATGGTAAGTGGTTTTAAAATGACATCTTTAAAATTGTATCGGCTTATGGTGCTTTCTTAACATAGTAGAAAATGCACTAAGTGCCTTTGTAGATATCTGCTGAAAAGCCACTTTTGTTGTTGTATCTTCAGATTTATATTAAGATGTTTAATTGCCTGCTTTACTTCCTTGTTGCATGTTATCACCCTTTCCACTGGATCTTGTGGTTGTGTGAACACATGGTGAATGAGACCAGCTTGCTGACCCAGTGAAACAAATGTGCTGGGTCGGGTCTCCAGTGGAAGCCAATTCATCCCACTAGGAAGTGCTGCAAGGTCTGATGCAAGGGAAATGGTGAGGTCTTGAGGCTGGGAGCACAGGTGGAAATGGCAGTGTCTCTTTCCATGATTGTATCTGTTTCAATATAAATGTTATTGAAGATCCTTACCCAGACTAGACCATCTCTGCTTCAGTAGGAGCAGAGCTACAGTCCTGTTCTGCAGGCTCTGACTCCTAATAGTATTACTGTGGAAAATAAACATTCAGGACACAATTTCTCTGTTCACAGGGTCAATAACTTGGCTGGACACTTCAAATATAATCTACAGTAACTGGTACAAGGATCAGCCATCTCCCTTCTCATCCACATGTGGGTACATCCTGAAGAATGCCCAGTATCAGTGGGGTGTGACTGAAAATTGCAGCCAGGAATTTGACTTCATTTGTGAGTTTGGTAAGATACACAACAGCTGGAAGAGTGAAGTGAGTGTGCTGTTATCACATGGGGCATAAATTGCCTTGTTGCTTTCAAAGGAGCTGGGAAATAACTTCATGAATCTTACTAAATGTGAACAAGCAAAAAGTCATATAACCCCAGCAGGTGCTCTTTTTCCAGCATGCTGATCCAAAGAAGGAAGAACCCACAAATCACTGGGAGGTGTAGGTGCTCAGCAACCAGACATTAGAGCCCAGGGTTCCAGCAGAGGGTTGATAAAATAGAAACAGATCTGAGAGTGACTCTAAGGTGTAGCTATCCACATCTTCTCTGGACATGAGCTGACTATGTTAAAGCATGGCTGCAAGAATAAACTCCCACGATGCCATAGTACCTGGGCTAGGTAGGACCCATGTGGCTGAACCATAAAAACACTCATTAATGTGTGCCAGAATAATTTCCATTTGTAACTGAAGCAAAAATACAGGCAGGCTTCCAGAGGCACCACTCCTTGCAGCTTGGATAAGTAAAAGTGAGAGCAAGTTTTTCTTGTTTCTTCTGAGACCCCTCCACCATGTGAAACTCAAGGTTTTCCCAGGTTAAGGAAGCAGACAGGAACCTGTACTCCCTGTGCTCAGATAGAAAATCCACAGACATTGTGTCACTCAAATTATGACTTGGAGCAAACAGTTCTGGACAGGAATGTTGGCAATATCATCCCTTTCAACTTATAGATATGAGGGGAATTTGTGTTCCTCCCACTTTTCACCAGAGTACTTTAAACTGCAGCTAGAACTGGGGTCAAAAGCACCGAAAGGACAGTCCGGCTGTGGACTCACTATTATAAAAAGGTTTCCAATCAAGTATGCAAGTACAGGTTTCCACAAGCCCTAGAACTGCTACTGCCCTGTCCAGCAGTCTGCTACTACTAACATAAATTACAAGTTGTTCTGCAATAAGCAAAGCTAATAAAGTTTTGTTTCCTATCCTGATTTTCTGCTCCACATTCCCACCCTACTCTCCTCAGCACTCCCAGTTCACTCCCATACCCCCAGCATGTCCCACCTCTGCAAATACTTTTCACTCCCTCAGCTCCCTCCCCTGCAGCTGCTCCAGATCTCCAGCTGTATGTGCTGGCCACTTGAATTCCAAGTCCCTGGCATTGATGTAGCTCTTTCTCTTCTCCCTAGATATTGCATTAAATGAAATTTTAGGGTGTTGGAGGTTTATACATACATCAAATGTAGCTGAAGATGACTAACATTAAAAATGACTAGGGGAGAGGAAACTGGCAGACAGCACAATCCCTTAAGCTCATTTTTCTTGCAAAAACAGACTAAAATTATTTATCCATTATAACCACAGTAGACAACTGTCTGTTTGTAAGGAAACTCTCATCTGTTACCATAGGATCTGACTGAGAGCCCATTAAATTGAAAGAGCAACAATATCCTATACTACATTCATCATTCCACTACCCAAGAAACCAAGACCAGATCAAGACAATTCTACCATTTAGTGCTCTGTAGGTTAGCAGTTTATTATAGTAAATATATATATATCAAAGCTGGGTTTGTACCTAGAAACACAGATCAAGTTTTGTACATCTTTCCATGTAAAAGTTTCTGACACAGCAAATACTGTGAGAAATCTGCATGTAGAGAACAAAAAAAAAAAAAGGCATGAGATAATGGTCCATACTAGAATTTACCAGCAAGTTATTTTACAAGCTTATTTAGAAGGCTCTAATCTGCAAACTGATCATGTTGCTATAGTTACAGCCAGGCTTAGCTTTAGCCTTTAAATAACGATAGCACACAATTATTGGTGTGTGCACACACTGGCACTGTTAATCAAGGGACTTGAGGGGAATGATCCAAACAACAACGGGAGGATAATGTATTTAGACCTGGAACAGCTGAAACAAAAACATCCTTTTGCAATACTCCCATATGAGAGCAGTTATTCACATCCTCCTCTTCAGGGTATTAAGTATCCTGATTACTACATGATACTAAGAATTCTGAAAGATAATTAACTGTCCCAGATTAATCAAAGAATGAGGTGTATGTGTTTAGAGCTATGACCTTACCCATCCAAGCAGTCCTGCTGAATGAAGTCAGTCAAACATCACAGAGGAACAAAGGAGTCTCTGTAGCAGAAATGGGATCAGCTCCCATACTTAATATGCAAACTATTCTCCAAAGCAATTACCTGAATATTATGAAATCCATACATCTCTTTCGGAAGTAAGGAGCAACTTTAAGCCTTCCAGTATTTCAGGTCAAACAAATGCTAAGAGTTTTTCCCAAAATACTATCTATTTTTATAATTATAATATTTTTGCTTATTGAAAATGTCCTTCATATTTTAAGGCAATAAAAACATACATCTATTAATTTTGACTTTTTAAAAATAAAAAATATTTCATTCTTTTAAAATTTCTTAAATTTTCTTAATCGTTTAGCTTAAAAGGGAGAAAAGGGAACAAAGACAAACACACAAAATGAACATGGAATAGAATTGTAGCAGGATTTTTCAGAAATTCTAAAAAGGTAATATTTGGGTTTTTTCTCCTATTAGAATCTGGCCAGAGCATCGCTTGTGATAATTACAATGCCACTGTACAGTGTGGATCAGGAGAGGTGATTCAAATTGAAGAGAGCTTCTATGGGCGGAAGACCCCTCACTACTGTGTGTCAGAAACTCCTCTGCAGTTTGAAAGAGATGAAGGCTGCAGCTGGATCAGTGTCAAGGATGAAGTAGCAGGTGGTATCTTATAGCATTGCTTGTCAGAAGCACTGAGCGTGTACTAAATTGTGCCTCGAATACTTTCTTTTTTTTTCCAGTAGAGTTAGCAAATGGGAAAGTGGATTATTCCTAAAATTAAGGGAATCACAGAGAACTTCTGAGAGGGAGGAGGCTCTACAGGAGTCTGGCTAGAAAGGAGGGGTTTTTGAGGAGCGAAGATTCCGAAGATTCCGAGAAGGGGAGGAGGAGCAAAAGGAGGGTTTTTGTCAGGAGCAAAGATTCAGAGAAGGAGAGGAGGAGCAAAAGAGGGGTTTTGCCAGGAGAGGAGCAAAGATTCAGAGGAGAGGAGGAGCAAATGAAGGGCAAGGGTGTCGCTGGCTGCTCTTAGTGTAGGAAGAAAATATGTGAGCACACTGATTCCTTGGGATAGACAAGGTTTGAGAGATGGAAGGCAACACATCCAAACAAACCTAGCTCCAAAGCAGGAGGGGTGAAAAGGCTGAAAGGCTGTCACCCACGGGGACACGCCTGCCACATGTCACGCGCCCACCCTGCTGGAGCCAAGGGATTGGACACTAAACAGTGACTGTGGCCTGTCCCCAGGGAGATTCTTAGAGCTTCCAGCCAAAATTAAACAAAACACAAAAGCTCTGCTTCTTTCTTTCTTTCTTTCTTTCTTTTTTTTTTTTTTTTTTTTTTTGTAGCTTTTCAAATTTAATTTCAAATTTAACTTTGTTTCCATAAAATGAAGTGTTGCTAAGAAATGCCACATAATAAGCAACACACTAAAGTCAAAGTGATGTGGAAATTTGTCTAGAAATCAGAGACATGATACTGTTCCTCCTGCCCTTTTTGTTTCTCAATCTTCATCTGAGCTTCATGGCAGTGAAGGCGAATCTGAAATGCTGATCTGAAATGCTCCCTTTCCAGGCCAGTGTCGCGGGCTGCAGGCCTGCCAGGTGGCAGCAGATGGCACTTTCTTTGGAGATCCTTGTCCAGCTTTGGGAAGCTATTTGTCTATTCAATACCACTGCAAGGAAGGTAAGAGGGAGGGCTGTCCACACTAGAAGCCTGTCCTGTTCTTTGCTGTAACACAGGGATGACTGATATTTATCTTAAAAATCACTGTTCCATCCTCAGGAAAAAACTGGAATAGTGGTGAGCACTGCAAATAGGCACCAAAATGTAGATTCCCTGTCATAACTGAGGGTTCTGAGTAGAATACAAAGCCCAGAAATTCAGACACATAAAACATATTTAGATGAAATTATATTCTAACAAGAATTTTGATTACTAGTCATGGAAAAGAATCAGCTGTCACATCACTCATGCACACGAATTAGCAGCAGTACCAGCTGTGGTTTGGAGCAGGCTGGCTCTCAATGCCTGAAAATCAATTGAATTTTGAAAGAAAAGTAGACAAACACTGGCACTGAATTGTCATTCTGCTTTGCAGGTCTGCAACTGGTTATGACAGACACATGTTTTGTCTTTGAAAACATCACAGTCACTTTGACCTGGCTGCTCTCACCATACTCTGGGAACCTTTCCTGTACCATTAGCACCGGAGATGGTCACACCATTGATCCTTACTACCCTCTTACGTAAGATATAGCCGTCATTTCTCTTCAGACAAACAGTACATTTCATTGCTTGCACTTTATTGAAAGTGTCAAATCTCATAAATGAGATGTTAAAAACTAGATAGCTCAATAATAGAACATACCTACAAGGGATTTGGATTCTGCAAAAACCTGTTTTGAAATCAATACAAAATCTTACATTAAGGTGCCAAGCAAAAACTTTCTCCTATTATAACAAGTGTTTCCTATTTCCAAGACTATTTATTTCAGATCTTAAGATTCAAAATTACTGAAAACATGTCAGTAATTGCCAAACTACAAGCAAATACTATTTCCTTAAGTTTAAAGAGTGTTTTTTTTGATAACAAAATATAACAAGGACATTCTGTAGGTTTTATTTTACTTGCATAGAAATCCTGTCTTTAATAGATCAAACATTTTTCTGCTGGGTTTAAAAATCAGATTTTGTCTTAGTGGTAGGAATGACATTTGAATGAATGAAATTTGGGGATGTGTTATCATATAAGGTGAAGAACTTCCCAGGACGGTCTTCCACAACAAGCAGCTATTCTTTTTCTATTCTAGACTGGTCAGCAACCTCACATACAGGTACTCCTCTCCTGGGGAGTTTACTGTTTTTGTGGAGTGCACCACCAGCGAGTGGCACGTGCTGGCACAGAGGCAGGTGACAGTTCAAGACCAGGTGGATCAGCTCAGCATTACTGGGTGCTACAGCCAGTATGAAACAGGGAATAGCTCCCGCTGCCGTACGCTCTATGGGGAGGTGTTGTGGATCCAAGTTCAGCTCAGTGGAGGTGAGGAGAATTTCTCTGCATGATTTAAAGGGAAGGATAAATCTTAAAACCATCCTTAGGATGGAAGCAGGATTGTCATTATGCAAATTAAGAATTCCTTTTTGTCAATGCTTTCCCTCTAATTGTTGTATTCCTGCAATTTAATTCTCTCAGTTCCCTTGGAGGGGTTCTTTCTCAGAGATATTTCACCACCTAAAGCATAAATATAAACCCTTTTTTCCTATTGACAAAGCTGACAGCACAAGCATACCTTTAGTCACAAAAATTTATATTATGCCAGTCAGAATATTTCAGTATTTGAAGTTAGAAATTTATGGAAATGCTCCTCTGATTAGGATAAGAGGATTTCACTCTGAGCTGGACACATTTGCTGGTGTACATTTCTTTCTCACTTCAAGTTCCTGGAAGCCACATATGTGCTGAAAAAATTAAAATTCAGTGTGTGTTTGAATTCTCTTTTCAAAACATTCTCAGCAGAAAACATACAATAGATTTTCATTAAGTCACCTTAAGTGACTTTAATAAAAATTACTGCTTTGCTGCAATTCTTGTGATTTCTGTATAAACACTGGAATGCTGCACAAAGCAGCTGGAACTTGTTGGCCTGTTGTACAAGCTGTGAGAAATTTTCATCTGTGTTTTTGCAGGCAATGAAGTAACCTACAGTATGTTAGCAGGTAACATGACACTGAGTGAATCCAGTGCAAAGGAAGGTCTTGTCTCCCATAACCTGACACTCAGCAGTGCCTCTCAAGAGCTGATAGGCCCAGGGATGCATCAGCTGGAAATCCGAGCATCCAGGACCACGATGGCATCAGAGATCTCTGGGACTATTGCTGTTCATTTAATTGAGCCAGTATCTGGAATTCAGGCTGCAGTAGCTTCCCACACTCTGCAGCTGGGGGAGGATTTGGAGGTGAATGTCTCTGTGTCCCATGGTGCCCCAGAGAAGCTGATGTTTGAGGTGATTGGATCCAACCAAACCCAGTGGCACAAAGCAGACGGCCCTCGTGGGGAGCCGCGGACGTACGGCGTTCCCCTGCCCCGGGAAGGTACAGCACCCTGACACCTCCTGTGCTCCCAGGACATCACAGATGAGTACAGGTCACATCAAGAGTCACAGCATCCTGGGCTAGGGGACAGTAATGCACAGCTGAATGTGGCAGCTTTTCTGACTGCTCAAACTTAGTCTGCAGAGCAGGATGAACAGCACAGTCCTATGTAAGTGAGCTAGAAAATGGAGCTGACAAATGGCTCTGCTCTGCAGAGTCAGAGCAAGGCTTCACCTGATTCTTGCAATGCAAGAGACACAGTAAAGAGACATAGGGTTTGTTTTTTCATGGCACCATCTGGTTGAAGTACAAATTAGGACATTTTCTGGAATAGCTAAGTGTTTTCCTCCTGTTTGTTCATTATGTTTCAAGTTTAGACCGCTCTGCATTTTACACTGAAGTTATTCATACTCTGAGGAGCTCTCAGTAGTGATGATAAAGAAAAGGGGAATTTTTCTGCATGTCCATTTCCAACACATAACTTTTGTTGGAGTTAGTTATGAATAAACATTTTAGTAATATTATTCTTCCATTATTACATAGTCGAAGCCTTTAAAATGTGGAATTAGGCAGATTGTGCTTTAGAGTTAATTAACAGTGGCAGAAGATAAAAAAGTTTCCACCTCTAATGAGCTATTCCAACCCCATGCCAAAGTGGGAATAGAAGAAGCGAAATATGATTTCATTTCATATTTTTTAATTATTCAATATTAAAGTTTTATTTGTTCTCCCTGTACCCATTTGAACATTCCTTCCCCATAGGCAGAAATTTTCAAACAAGACAACTGCTGTCTTAAGATGCCTAAACTCATTTGGCCTCCAGTGTTTGTACATCTCTAGTTTCCTGTGTGATATCATAGTCAGCTGACAAAAAATGGCATGACAAGGGCTAGGAAAAGGGCAGCTGAGTTACTCGGAAGTTGAGATAAAGGGGAAAAACATTCCAGGAAAAGCCTTTCAGCAGTGGACACCCACCAGAAACCCCCCTGAAAATTGTTAACAGAAAAGAAGGAAGTTTTCTTTACAAATTGGATATTATACCTCAAACCTGTTGGACTGGGCCCACTGCTACTCTTAACTGGTCCTTTGCCTTTTCTAGGTACTTTTCTAGTGAAAGTGGTGGCCATGAATGACTTTTCAAACATGAGTCTGGATCTTGGATTCATCACTGTCTTGGCAAACAGCTCCCATATAAAAGGTAATTGCATTAATCTGACAGTGCTGGTTTTGACCACCTAAATGTCTTTTTGCAATCAGAGACTTTCATGGAGTGTTTATGGTTTGCATGTAGTAATTGCTTTCCTTCCAGCAAAAGTGCTGAAAACTTTTGTGGAGGCTTCTTTCTGATGAAGGCAGATTCCCTGACTTTGATGTAGTCATAAATTAGCATCACTCTATATATGTAACACATTGCACATTTGCTGTTTGTCCTAGAAATAATGAGTGAAGTTTATGGCTTGGGACATAGCTTTGAAACCAGAAAACATTTGCATCACAGCAGCCTCATAAATTGCTGTCACTAATGGCTTCTAGATGGCTCATCCTTATATTTACAAGACCAGATTATAACAGAAATAAAATAACCTTAGCACTAATTGTATTGAAAGTTTTCCAGAGCTTTCCATCCATTTTCCTTTGTACATCAGTAAACCCATCACCTTCTGTGAATATATTTTTATTTATACCATTATTTTTGAAGAATCAGGATCATCTCCTTTGTAGTCTTTGATGAGCTTCTTGTTACCATTTTACATATTTGATGGTGCTGTTTGTCACAGCTCTGGAGTCTGATTCTTACAGCCCCATCTTTCACACTGTCAGAAGTCAAATCCTGTGGATTTAAGTCATATTCACTGAGGATGTCTGAAAGCTTTACAGGTAGCACTAAATATTCTGTTCTTTTTTGCATTAAACAGATTCTGATAAGGAAGAAGGCAGCTACAAAACAAATACCCGAAAGAAAAATGTAAGTATTATTCAAGGGTCTTTCTTTAAAATTGCTTAGAAATTTTTCTTACCAGTGAAAGTGCTGTATAAGACAGGGAAAAGAAGTATATGTAGCATAGTAAAATATGGACTAGATGTTCTGTTCCCCATATGGCTTAACACAAAATCTATACCACAAGTCTTGGAGACAAATGTGTTTACAGGCATTCCATCTACAATTCATAAAAAAGATTAAAGAAAATGAACTTTTCACAACAATTCAGTTTTGGAAGTTAAAATGTGGTTAGATTAATTTTTAATTCATCTACTTGACTAATGCAAGCCTCTCTCTGGAAAGTGATCCTTCAAGTAGAGTTTAATATATTTTATATGGTTCCCAAGTGTTTTCTGCTTCTGTATTGGAGTGTTTAAATTATTTTGTAATGAAAAATCTTCCAGTTTTTGGCAAACTGAGAAGTTAATGATAAACCAATTGCTAGCAGCTGTCCAAATTTAAATAATAAAAATGCCAGATAGAATATTTTATCATCTTAAAAGTCTCGTTTTTAACTGTAACACTAGCAGACAGACATCTGCTATGGGAGATATACTGCTTCACAAGAAGCCACCATGCTTTACAGATTGCCTGTAAAAATATATTGCATCAGAGGAATATAAATCTAATCCAAATCCAAGTTTATCACAGTTTTGTACACAGAAAGACAAACTCAGCTACCCATTCTTCTCTTTGTTTATAGCTGCAATGTATCCAATTCAGAAAAAAAAGGGATGCACCAGAAGACAAATGGTTGTTCAAGGGTTAGAAGGTTTGGTCCAGATGTGAAGGTTTTATAGGAATTAATTTCCTAAGTACCTAGTTTTGAAAATGGAAGCTGCACTTCTAAACCAATTATGCATTTGGGAGAATTTTGCCACACAACTTTTCTGTGCCATCCTCTTCTATTCCCATAGCTTCTAGTTCCATGCTACCTCTGCTAAGGGAAATATCATATAAACTACAGATCTGTATCCAGTGATTTGGGGTATAAACTTTCAGACCTTTTTCATTATAAAGAAGCAACATATGTATGTGTTTATACACGTTTGTGTTCTAACTGATACATTTACTTCTTATTTAGGATCACAAAATATATATTAAACCGAGTCGCCATGTGGATCCTTTCACAACTGTTACACTTGGCTGGCCAGACAACAACAATAATTCCAGTTTCCTCTGGACCTGTGGTTTGTGCATTTCCAAAACTTTTTTCACCAACTTGTACTTGATGAATAACAAACTCACTGTTGTGTCAGATCCAGTGTTGAAAATCTGACTTAAAGATGCTTCATTTTCTGTCTTTAAAGTTTGCTACTTTAAAGTTTGCCACTTTAAACGTACGTGAAGAATGTCCTTCTACCCAACCCTAGTTTTGGGACTAAACTAATAATGGTATATAACATGCCATAGAACTCCATTTTGTCTTCTCCCAAGGTTTCAGTTTTTTAGTTTTTCAAGATCTACCTGTTCTGAGCTTCACTCTCATAGCCAAGGACTAGTCCCAAGTGACTTACACAGGCATTTGCAAAGTACACGTGTCTTCATAAAATAGCAATAATTAACATTAAACATGATGCAAACACATTTCTGGCTGAAAACAGGATTTGGATTCAGGCCATTTGTCTTCTATCCCCATAATTATCCCTGACCTCATACCTGACTTTGAAAAAGCCTGTACTCTGAATCCAGATTACCAACTCTTTAAATTGTGTTCAAGAAACTTGTCTATAAAGCTCTTTGAAACTTATGGCAGGAAAATCCTTTGTAAGATGCTATTCTAACTATAAAGGAAATGTTTCTGCAGGAGCTTGCTGGCCTGCCTGGAATGAATGTGTGAAACAACAGATAATCCTAATCAACCAAAGTGAGGTGCAAATCCCACCTTCCTGCCTTCCTCCTCCAAAATCAGCAGTGACTGTCAGGATTACCATCCAAAACCATGGCAGCGAAGAGAGGCGGGACGAGCAATGTCTCTATGTGACTGCAAAACAAGAACTGCAACTGGAAATCAGGTCTGGTTTTAAACCCTGGTATCCACAGGTTAATATTATTACTGCACAAGCATAGTGCAAAACCACAGTTTCCAATAATAATAAAGTAGTATTGGACTTTTAGAATCACAGAATCCTAGAATCACAGAATGGTTTGGGTTGGAACCAACTTTAAAGACCATCTTGTTCCACCTCTCAGTCATGGTCGGAAGACCTTCCACTAGATCAAGTTACTTAGAGCCCCATTCAGCCTGGCCTTGAACACTTCCAGGGATGGGGCATCCACAGCTTCTCTGGGCAGCCCATGCCAGGGCCTCAACACCCTCACAGTAAAGAAAACTGACGGTTCTAAACCCATTTGCACCTTATCATTAGAAAAATTACTGACCAAATAAGTCTTGCTGCATTTTTCAGTCCATGTTTCTGAATACAACCCTTTTAGAAACTGAAACACATCCTTCTGAAAACCACTTAGGTTTTTTGACCCCACTGCAGTGTTGGAGATTTCAATGTGTCAACCTCATTGACACAATAGGAATAAATGCCATAAGATATGTGTGAAGTTTTTCCTAGATATCGCATACCATGTGTAACTCCCATCTTACTTCCTTACAGGTGTGAGGCAAACTGCAAGCCAGTGAATGTTAGTGATGAAGTTGTTTTGAGTGTCTCTGAACAGGAGGACTCCCAAGCCATATATTATAACTGGTATTTAGATAACACATTCCAAAACAAGGTGAGAGCACCAGATTGGTCAGAAATACTGCACACACAAAAACAAATATCCACAAAGCCATATGGCCTCAGAGGGATATTTTGTCAAGTGGATGCTTAGAAAATATTAGTGAAGACCAAAACAAGGGGGTGCCTGGATTGGGAGGGGTTATAATGGAGGGCATCAAACTGCTACCCTGTTCCTGATAAATCACAACAGAAAGAACAGCAAAGAGCCTCTACTGCCATGTGTTCTTTTCTGTCTGATTTTCCAGTCTGCAGCCCTCCCTCTAGCCTGTGGCCTGACTGGTTTCCAGCAGAACTCTTTGAATTTGCTTCAAAGCAACTCATCCGTGTTGAGAATGAGCAGCTCCTTCTTGCAGACACAGGGAGACGCTTTTCAGATTAAAGTAACAGGTAGGGGTTAACAGGGTTTTTAGGGTTTACAGAGTCCTTTGGGATAATCTCTGCTGACATGACATCATACTGGTGTCACACATACACTCACTGACAAATATGGTGTTAACTTCATATGCGAGTTCTTTAAAACAATGAGGAGATAAATTTGTTCTGGGGTGTCACACAGCAGGAGAAATTCCATTCTCTTACTCCTGTTAATAACTTTGTTAAGGCTCGCCTGAAACAAAGTTGTAATTTCTATAGTTTCTCTCGCAAGCAGCCTCCCGCAGCCACTATGGTAATTCCTCCCAGCCAGGCGCGGTCCCGGGTGCCGCGAACGGAGAGCTCACCAAGCCTGTGCACTGCAGGGTTCATCTGTGAAACCTTCTGGGGGTTCCCTCTCCAGTCGGCTCTTCCTGGGGTACTCAGGCAGAGGTCCCTGACTGTCCCTGTCACTCAAAAGCCTTTAAAGGCAGCTAGAGTACCAGGGCAGTTGACTGTCCCAAAAGCTATTGAATTCCCCTGAAATATGGGGTCCAGCTTCTTCGTGGGCTCAGAGCAGCACACGTTGGGGTGCAACTGTAATTTCTATAGTTTCCCCCCGCTCCACGTAGCCCCCTCTAGGGTCCGACCAGCTCAGAGATATGGGGCTGTGAGGGGAGGAATTCCAGGAGAGGGAAAAGTATTCAAAAGAGGCTCTTACCCCAGGGAAGTTGGAACAGCTCTCTTTATTCTGTGGTGTCCATGGAGAGCGGGGCAAAAGAGAGAGAGCAGGAAGTTTCAGGGGTCTATATAGGTTTTGGACAGGGTGGGCTCTCCTGGCTCCCTGCCAACCCCATTGGGGCAGGAAGGAGGATCCAGGGGTTATCATGATCAGAGCCACAGAGGCCCTAGGAAAGGGGGGACAAAAGGGTGTCCAGGAGCTCACCGTAACACAAAGTTATGCTAAATGCTTGATGAGACAACAGCGCTTTGCTTTATAATGCAGACATTGAGATGTTTGAAATGGCTCTCCCGTTACGGTTTCTGCAGTAGCAGGAGTCATTGCTCGTTAGCCCAGCCTGATGCTCTGCTCCCTCCATCCCAGGCACGACTCAGCGGCGGTACGGGGAGCGCGGGTTCCTGGTGAGCACTGTGCCCCCGCCCGAAGCCCCCGACTGCGCCGTCAGTCCCGGGCGCGGCTCCGCGCTCACCGCCTTCAGACTCTCCTGCAGCGCTCCCGGAGGGTCGGGCCGGGCCAGTCCCGGCGGGCAGCTCACATATTGCTTCTATGTGGCACCAGGTCAGTCCCCAGGCAGCTGTTTGGCTTCTCCTGACAAGAGCAAAGGCACAGCCTGCCCTGCTCTGCTGCTCACGAGTGAACGTGCCCTGAGTCCCCTGTTCTCAGAGAGCAGGAGGTGTCTCTGTGGTGTCTGCTCCCTGACCCCTTCTTTCCCGTTCCAGATTCTCTCCTGGATTGTAGCCCGGATCCTGAACTCTTCCCAGTTTATCTTCCACTTGGAGAAGAGGAAAATAATTTCATTTTACATGTGACAGTTATTGTTAGCAACAACGTCGGTGATACAGTTCAAACAAACACTTCAGTGAAGGTAGACAGGAGAATTAATTAGTTTCAAGAACTCTCAAGTAGATCACTAACCCAAAACTGACTTTTGGAGCTTATTCCTGTTTTAGATATCCTTCTGAATGTACCATAATCACCATTTTTCACAGAATAATCACAGAATAATGAGGTTGGAAGAGACCTTTAAGATCATCAAGTCCAACCTATACCCTAACACCTCAACTAGACTCTAGCACCAAGTGCCATGTCCGGCCTTTTTTTAAACACATCCAGAGACTATTCTCTGCGTGCTCAAGGTCAAAAGATCTTCCACTGCCCTTTTTTTCTAGAACAAAAGTCTAAAAGAATTGTTTGGACATTGATTGAGCAGTGTAAACCTATTTACTGAGTCTGGAATTACTCTGTGTAGGCCCCAAAAGCCTTTTGCTTCTTCCCCAGTGCCACAGTAAGGAGATCTTTATCAGGCCATTAAAAATAAAACATTTAAAATGGAGAACATGAAGTTTTATGTCCCACTCTATCTAGGCTGTTATTAAGATGATCATGGAAGCTGTTGAAAGAAAGTTGTAACAGCCTTGGCAATGTTAAGAGCATATCTGATTCCTTCACCAGGTTGGACCTGCAGATATGATGGATGGGAACCTGACCCTGCAGGCTGTGGTATCTGAGAAGGCAAACTCCATCCTAAAAGATGGGAACAACAGCATGAGTCTCTTCCAGCTCTACAAGTCAGTGACATCTGTCCTGAATCAGCAGATCCAAGAGGAAAGCTTTAACATGTCTTTACCGACAAACACACGAAAAGAGGTCAGCAAAACACTTGCTTTCTTGCAGTAAAATGTCATATAATGGACTCTTCATATTTTTGACAGCTCTTAAGTAATAAAAAGCTTACATATTACCACTTGAAATCAATGAAGGTTTCAAGTTTCTAGCAAGTATCTGTCACAGTGTTTGGCACAGGTTTCAGCTAGTTTTCACTATTTGTCTACATAAATTATTTGTTTTATCACTCATCACTAAAACAGTTAATTCTCAATTGTTATTTCATTGATTTAAACTAGCTAATCTAAACCTGATTTTCCAAAGCAATTTAAATATCAATAAAATGGCATCTCCAGTGGGATAAATATCCTATCAAATTTTCCCCAAAAGCACTAGATAGCAGGTAATTTTCTTTAGTCCACTCTAGCTACCAGTTGATGTTTCAGTCATAAGTTGATATTTGTACAGTTCTTTGAGTGCCTCAGATGAAGAGATCTAGAGAATGTATCCTTCAATTAAGATTTATTATAATAACATCAATCACACATGGCTCTGCTTTCTCTGGAGGTGGCATTTACACAGTAATTCACATACATTAGTACAAATTCTCACAAGTAACTCTCCTTTCTCTTAATGGATGTTAAGCATATGAATTCTCTGTGCTGGGAGGTAACATAGAACTCGTGATTATATAATTACTAGGGCAAGTAGCACCTTGTCAGTAGAGCTAATATCAGCTCAAATGATTCTTGTTGTGGAGCCTTACTCTACTGCATAACTTAGAGCAAGCCTGGCTGTCAATACACAGCATTACTTTCACAGTCCTAATTAGCATCTTGTTCCTTTGCCTAATTATCCCTTTTCATCCCCAGCTCCGAGGGCTGATGCTGACAACTCTCTCTGTTGTTAACGTAACATCAATGCAGACTGCTCTGAAGATGTCAGAGGTACTGAAAGAAATCACTTACAGGAGTGAAGAGCTGTCTGTCTCAGCACAGGTAAGAAGCAAGTCATATCTCCTCACACTAATAGTTGAGACTCTAATTATCCCACTGACCTTGGAAGAGTTTCAGTGCCTTATAATTATCTGTTCTTACCCATTTTTTCAACTGTACCAGTATGTGTATTTTGACCAGCAGTATTTTGACTCTGTTTAACAGAGTTAGTAAATTCAAGTCTCAGATATTATCTCAGCAATCTCTACAATCCAGGCTATGACCATTACATTTATCATACATTTTTATTATTAATAATCCTTAACTTTTAATCAGAAACATGTCAGGGTGCATGTTTTCTCTTGTAAAGCACTTTTAGAACCTTAAAGAAGAACTGCCCCAAGAGGGTTTTTCTAGAATTGCCCATATTCATTCATGCCTCATCCTGGCACAAAATGCACATAGGCAATGGTCAAGGACATGTCAGCACTGAGAGGAGCTGGGCACAAATGTGCAGGTTGGTTTCACAAAAGTATCTCCTGAGTCTTGTCTGGGAACAAGGCATTATTAGTAAGTGATGCTATTTATGGTTACAGGGTGAGCATATGGCAGAACAGAACAAACTGTTACTGGGGGAAGTTTCCCAGATATGCAGGCAATAAAAAGAGCTGTCCTGATTTCTGATGTATTATAGAGTTGGAGCCAGACAATGTCTTGGGAGCATTTCAGCAGGAAGTGGTTAACTTTGGCAGACAAGAAGACAGCTCAGATCCAGCTCTTACCCCACAGAAAGGCTGCTCAGTGTTCACAGGCTGTGGGGATGGATGTGTCCAAGCCTGCAGTGAATTTGCTTGGCTCTTTCACTATCCTGGGCTAAAATCTGGCTAATGCTTTCCCAGTCCCAAAGCTGCATCCAGGCACAAAATAAAAATTGTAAAACTCATTCTCCTTTGGCACTTAGCACTTTGGCACTAAGATGGAAACTTATAACCTAATTTACTACTTTACTGTAAATCTAAAAGCTATCCTTGCCCAGGGTTTGACAGACAAGCTTCTTTCAGATGTTATTAATCTTTTTATGGATTACATCTGTGGAAGCAGGCTGCATTTTTCATGCCTGTATTCCATTTTGGTGTACCATCTAATATATCATCTTTATTAGCATTTGAAGTATTACCTTGGCACAAATAATTATAGTAAAAATGGCATTACCCACTAATAGTCCCAAAGATTACTGCTGTTGCAATTTTCAGTAAATGACACAAGTGTCACTTCTGTCATTTGCGGTGCCAGCACATATAAACTGCTCCCTGTGCTTCTTCCCTGCAGGTGGAAGCCAGCAGCACTCTGAAACATGTCAGTGCCTCTTTGCTTGCTGTAAACACAGAGCACAGCAGAGATGGTCAGGAGTTAAAGGAAGCAGCCAGCTATCTGTTTAATGCAGTGAGCAGTGTTCTTAAAGCTTCTGTAGAAATCAGAGCTGGGAACACTTCAGTGCCAGAGACAAAACAGGTAATTTAGATTTGGTCCAGTTTGTACTGTATTGTGTGTGAATATTTGTTTGCTTTGGGAGGTTTTTAAATCTCTGCTGTGTCTTGTATTTTTAAAATGCCACTGGGAAAAGTTCCTTGTGTCACCATGATGGACTTGAACGTCAGAGAAAACTTCTCCCCAGATAGACATGTTAGATTGAATATCTGTCAATGAAGATAGAGGCCTCTTAAGATTTGTTACATTGAAAGCTGAACAGGACAGAGAACACAGCATCAGCTCTGACCTCTAATCGATGACAAGAATGTTGCCATTTTTTTCAGATTTGCTTCTATCCTCTCATTTTGCTCCATAATTCAAGGAAGCCACAGGTATTAAATATTCATGATTGCCACCACTACTTCACAGTTTCAAACAGCTCTGGTTGCTGCTGACATTTTTGCAGAAAGCTCTGATTATCTGTTGAGAAAGACACAACATATCTATTTTATCCTACCCTTCCCTGCTATATGTGAATTGTCACAGCTAACTCTGTGAGTTTCCTGGGCTGAACATACTTTAATTTCATCACTGCAAGGGAGTAGGGATGAAATAAATCAGAGAGAAAAGATTATCGACTGGACAAGTTTTCCAACAATAACCCACTAATAATACACAATTGATATGTAATTAGGTCTTGCTTTTCCAAGTAACAAAACACTAACATGTGCAGCTAAGGGCATTAATACACAAAAGTACATTAATATATTGATAGATGTCATGCTTCAATTCAATGTATTTCAATGTATAGAAGTTATAAATATAACAATATAGAAGTAAAATCTGTGAGGCATTTATTTGCCATCTGCAATGTTTCAGTGAGAATTACAGAAACTGAATTGCAATAGAATAGCTTTTTCTGAGATTAGGAAGCTTATCACCAAGTTAGTCAGCTTAGTAAGACACCAAAATTAAATAGAAGAAATGACAAATTATGTGCAGCTTGATAATCCTGAGTTCCTTTGTTGTAAGTTTCCTCCTCCAATTCTTTTCCAGAGTTCAGTGTCACACCAGCTCCTGAGTACAGTTGAAAATCTCCAGAGTGCACTTCTGTTTGGGAAGGCACCAGGTGATGAGCCAACAGTCCTCACCTCTCCCTCTGCAACAATGTACATGCACAGGTAAAAACTGCAGTACCCCCCACCAAAGTTTCTGAGAGCTACAAATGTTAATTCCATTGTGCTTAAACAGAATGTTTGGAACTAAATATTGTAGCATAATGACAATTTCAATAGTGTAAAAAGTCTGTTGATAGTGCCTGTTAGTAAGACCAGTTTGGACTCCAGGAGCATCACCTTAGAAATTCCCATGCTGTGTGTGCTTTAACCAGCAGAGGATTTGCTACAATTTCCTGAATGAGGCAGTAGTCACTTACTTTTGAAATTATGTAGAAAACTCATGTCATACCAGCTAAGGTTTCTTTTCTTTTCCAAGTCGTCAATAATGACATTATATGGAACTGTAAGAAGCTTGGCATAAGCAAATACAATCCTGAGGAGCTTGACGAGAATTTTCCATTCCCTATAATCATTCCTAAATTGTTCCCCAAGAGCCTGGATTTCATCCACATCAAACTGTGCATTCAAATCAAAAGCATGTTCACACAGAAACCAAGTCTTTCAAATAAGTACACCTTGGTAAAACTTCCTCTCCAGATATGCCAATTCCACTCCTTTTTTGATGATTCTGTGGTAGGTTTACATGGAATACTGCATCAGGGACAGATCCATGTATGAAGCCTTTACTGACAGACTTAGAAATAGTTTTGCAACTAAATTATATCCTTGAAGAGAGAAAGATTTTTCTGTAGATATGAAGTCCATGCTATTGATGTTTGTTTTTTTTTTCTGGTGTTTTTATCCTTTTATTTTTTTTTTTCTCTTTTATTCTGCTTTGCTCTTGCCTAACCCTAACTGGACAGATTACAAACAGAAAACATGGATAGCACATCCATAAACATCTCCAATTCCAGCTCTGCCAGCTTTACTCTCCCACCTGCTTCCTCTCTCAATGTTTCAGGAGTTGATGGTGAAACAATGGATATAAGGGCAAGTAAAGAGCTTTTATCTAACTCTATTTGATATCCAGCTTATATTCCTGATCCAATGGTTTTAGCATCATTTATCCTTTCACAATAAACACACAAGCACACATCGTTCCTCCTGTCACGCCAAGAACATAATTTGAAATTACTGGTCAAAGAAGCCTTAATTTATCATAATTTCATGAGGTTGGTTAGGCGAGTTAAGGACAACTGAATTTTTAAATTCCCCATCCCATCAGCCCCTTACGTACGCTTTGATTCATACGTACATGGCAGGAGCAGGCACTGGAATAAATCAATACCTACACATCTATTTGCTGTTTGTTTACATCTTATGCTCTGAGGAGGATGCAACAGCTCAGAGTCCATATCACATTCAGACTAACCTACAGCAGTCTTCTTTCATCCCAGCAAGAAACACCTGAGTGTGGGGCACTCAGATCCTGCAGGACACAAATGTGCTGATGGTAGCACGGCCCCGTCTGAATTAGGACGAAGTGTTTTTTCTCTCAGAACAATAGATTGCATTAAATTGTCATATTTTCATAATTAATTTTCTGAAGATCTCTCTGGTTGGTTTGACCCTCTCAGGAGACCCCTAAAATACCTGCAAACATTTTTTTTTTCATTGCACCTTTTCCAACTCTGCCAAAAAGGTGTCACACTTTATGAAAACAATAAAGATTGCTGTACACATTTCAGAATTAAAATCACTTTCACGGTTTATAGACCCACCTTAGAGATAAGGTAGAGTCTTATTAAAACTGGACGCAGACTTCATCGAAGTTTACTTCTTTTTGGGTCTGAGCTCATTCTTTCACTATTCAGCAGTTCAGAGTGTGAATAAAATGAAATATTGACAATATTGAATATCTAATAATGACAATAGCTCAGTTGTCTGATTGTTAATGTCTTCTAACAGATGGTGAGCTTTGCCATGAATCCCTTTTTCTCCAGTGACAGCAGTTTTGACATCAGTGGAACAGTGGGAGGTCTGAGTCTAACTGGTGTGGATGGTTTGATCATACCAGTCAGCAACCTCAAAGAGAACATTGAGGTAAATCCACTATTTCCTAACTCTCGCCCTCTTTTCCCATATTTTTCCTCCCTCCATTAACAAACTGTCATTTGTGTTATTTGTGAGGTGAACACAAATTCTGGTAGTGTTCATTACATTAGATAATGGGCTGATGCAGTCTGTAGTTGTGATGGAGGGATTTGTGTGATTTGGTGGAAAAAAAACCCAAGTATTTTTGTCTTTTCTTGAAAAGGAGGCATTTTATTCTTCTTTAAATGAATGTAAGAATGCTGATGGTTGTGGAAATAGATTCCAGATTACAGTCATCCCCAAGCAGAATGTGAAATCTGATGTCATCAACCATGTGTCTGCATGCTAAGAAGAAAACTGCTTTTCGGTATTTAAACCTATGCCTTTTTGTTTAAAAACAGATCATGTTACCAAGGCTTTCAGCAATTCAGGAAGATAAGATTCTGTTGAATCTGGGCAATTATAGTACTTTTCAAGTCAATGATACCTCAGAAAACACATCTATAGTGATCCACCTGGAATCTGAACACGACATTCCACTAATACTTTACTTGGGGTATGGTTATCACCCAAATGAAACCAACTATGACATGAAAAATCGTCTGTTCTATAAGAAAACTTCTGGAGGTAAGATAAATATTCTGCATAAACTTGCAGAATAAGCCTTGACCATGAGTTCAGGTGTCTAGCTGGAAATAAACCTCATGCTTCAAAGTTCCAATTTCTTGAATAAAATGTTCATTAACAGGAGCAAAGATTGGGGTGATTTGATCAATGAGTTTCTAAGAATGATTTCATGCCTGTTTCTTTAGTTCATTTATTACATGCATGCTTCTGAATTAGCCTTTCTATAGATACATTGAAATGAAAATATTTATGTTCAAGGTGAGATGAACAGCTGGGTTCTCAGCCCAGAAGAACTCATTTTTGGAGAGGGAACCTACTATTTAATGGTGTTACAAGATATGGGAATGGATTCAACAGTCTATGAGGGGCTAACCATAAATGCCACTTGCTTTGCATCCCGCTGTGTATTTTGGGATGAGCAGCAGGGAGGCTGGAACAGCTATGGATGTCATGTAAGTAGAGCAAAACAAAACAATGTGTCTGTTACACACTTCAAAGCCAGCCCTCACAACCACCATCTCTAGTAACTGACACCATGAAATAAGATCATTCTGTGATGTTTTAATAAACTCAGGAAGTTTAGTCATATTGAACTAACCTTTAAACAACATTCCTATTTCCTGGGATGAACTTCTGTATAAGAAGAAATGGAACCATTCTGACAAGGCCATAATATATTGTAATGCCCATTACTGGTTAAGTGTTAGAATTAATATTCTTTATTGGAACTTGAACAATTTGGTGTGCAGCAGCTCTCTACACTAACTTACCAATCTCAGCACTGTTTTCATTTGCTTGGTAAATCATCTAATACTTTGAAGACAGATGTTTTATCAGAAATCTTTTCTGGATTTCAGGTAGGACCAAAAACAAATCCTAGCAGCACACAGTGCCTCTGCAACCATCTGACCTTCTTTGGGAGCTCGTTCTTTGTCATACCCAATGCCATAGATGTCAGCAAAACAGCACAGCTGTTTGGTACATTCGTGGAAAATCCTGTGGTGGTGACAACTGTAGGATGTATTTTTCTGATATATGTGCTTGTAGTTATTTGGGCTCGAAGGAAAGACATCCAGGATGATGCTAAAGTAAGTCTCCAGCTAATAAAGTCAATGTATTCAGGCCAATTCCCACCATGCCTAGCCTGTTTTAATAGGAAGCCTTTAACCAATCCTACTCCTTTCCCTGTAACTCTCTGTTTACTGGTAAGTAAACATTGTTCACAAGATCACAAATTCCTGCACACAGCTTTCAGGAATCTGTACTTACAGGACAGCTAACACAGTGCCCGTGTTGTGTGGCTCTGCAGGTGAAAATCACAGTCCTGGAAGACAATGACCCCTTTGCTCAGTACCGTTACCTTGTGACCGTTTTCACAGGACACCGCCGTGGCGCAGCCACAACCTCCAAGGTATGAGTGGCACTGTGTGGGAGGAGAGTTTATTTGCTTAGAGAACGGGGTGAATAACAGAGCACCTGAGGCTATTAAACAGGACAGCTCAAATGCACTGTCTGAGCCAGAAAGCCCTTAGGTTTGATGAAAGGAGAAGTAATCACACTTGGGATTGAGATGTGCAAATCTTCATTTTGCCTTTTTATTTTCCAGGTGACTCTCACCGTCTATGGGCTGGATGGAGAGAGTGAGCCTCACCATCTAAATGATCCTGATACACCAGTCTTTGAACGTGGAGGAGTGGATGTTTTCCTCCTCTGTACCTTCTTCCCTCTTGGGGAGCTGCAGAGTATTAGATTGTGGCATGATAATTCAGGGGACAGTCCATCCTGGTAAGTGGAAGCCTAGAGAGGCTGGGAAGTAAAAATCCACAAATAACTTTTTATAATGACAACAGCTTTCCCCTTCTAGCACTTGAAAATCTTCCTTTCTGCAGTTCTAGAAAGAAAAGAAGTGTTAGATTCTAGTTTTTGCAGCTGAATAGACAAATCATAGCCTAAAGGGCAGGACCAGGAGTGCTTCCCATATCCCATGTCCAGTATAGGATGGGATATGTCTTGTGCTTTACAATTTAGTCACCCCAAGTAGCTGGAGGCCAGAGTTGGTCCTCCCCAGTCTTGTTGAACTCTGGATTTCGCACACTCAGTGGTATGTGACTGTGCCCTGTGTGTTATTCCAACAGGTATGTGAATCGAGTATTAGTCCATGACCTGGCATGGGATCAGAAATGGTACTTCCTCTGTAACTCTTGGCTAGCCATTGATATTGGAGAATGTGTCCTAGATAAAGTGTTCCCAGTAGCAACAGAAAAGGACATGAAGCAGTTCAGGTACCTCCTATTTAATGGATTTTTTTTTTACTCTTGATAGCAATCAGTCTGGAACAACAGGCATGAAAAAAACCAGACCAAAGCCCTAAAAAAAAAATGAAAACAAGGAAGGTCTTTCCACTGTCCTTAAAGAGCTCTGAATAAGGGAGAGAGGAATAATGGTTACATAAATCATTACCCTAACAGTAGTACCATACTGAAAATACTGGTGCTAAAGAAGTATAGTCTGACAAACCTACAGAAACACAAACATCTTCTCTTAAGTGTAATTATCTTAACAAATTAAATAGGAACTATTTGCTTTCCCCCTATGCTATGTCCAGAAGAAAAGGCCATAAGTAGCCATGACCATTTCATGCAAATCAAGCCATGATACTTGATAATTTCTCCTAGTTATTACTTCTGCTGATAGTGCCTAGAAGCATAAACAGGTTGGGACCCTGCACTAGGGCTTTGTTCTTCCCTCTCCTTTATACATATCCATTTGATTGCCCTCTTCTCCTTCCCAGCAATCTGTTTTTCATGGAGACCTCCAAGGGTTTCCAGGATGGGCACATCTGGTACTCGGTTTTCAGCCGCTCCCCACGAAGTTCCTTCACGCGAGCCCAGCGCGTGTCCTGCTGCTTCTCACTGCTCCTCTGCACCATGCTGACCAGCATCATGTTCTGGGGTGTGCCAAAGGATCCTGCTGAGCAGAAAATGGATTTGGGTAACAATCCTCACCATTGCTTGGGCAGGCAAATAGAGACAGCAAAATCTGGAAGCAAGAGTTGATTAAATAGTTTTTTTCACAAGAGAGAGACTTGATGGTTTATTTTGCCTGGGGTTATTTTTCCTTCTTTGTTCTGTTTGACCTTGACAGGTAAGATCGAGTTCACATGGCAGGAAGTGATGATTGGCTTTGAGAGCTCCCTCCTCATGTTCCCCATCAACCTGCTCATTGTGCAGATCTTCAGGAACGTTCGACCCCGGCCAGCCCAGCAGGGCAGAGAGAAGAAGCCGGGAAAGAATGGCCGAGTGTCTCCAAGCCTGCTTCCGACCCCAGGGGCCACCCAAGCTGCCTCTCTCACTCCAGAGGCTGTGACAAAGGCAAGTCCCAGCGAGTCCTGCACTGCCATCTGCTGCCACACACTACCGCCCTCCCCGGCCCCACTAATTTCCCTGCTCCGATGCTCTTCAGCCTGTCTGAAGAGAAAAGCCAATTTCCCCTGGTGCAAAGTGCCCACCTAAATGCAATCCTTCATTAAATGCAATCCTTCATTAAAGTCTGCCTTTGTACATCCCAGCCCTTGCACAGTTATTGTGTGACCAAATCACTGTGTTCAGGAGTTAGAGCAGACACTAAGCAAGACAGTGAAGATAAAAGGTATCATGGACCACATCTTTCTCAGCTTAGATCCTCAGGCAGGCATGCTGCCCTTTTGAACCCCAAAAGCTGCCTTGCTGAACTCCCTGAAATCTGCCTGACACATCCAGCACTGTAGGATGTGCTATTCTTATCCATTCTGGAGATTTCAGCAGTTGCTGCAGCTCCCAGTGGTACTGTCAGATCACATCAGCTTAAGCCACTGCAGTCAGAGTCACTTCTGTGTTACTGCTGTCTTTCCTAGGGTATAAGAAGAATTGCCAACTCACTCTTTAAAGCCCTGAAGACTCCATCTCTCACCTCAGCACTGGACCTTGAAAAATCAGCTAATATCAACACACTCCTGTCATTGGTGGAGGATGTCATCTGTCAGCAGAACAGAGCTGGGCAAGGGTTTTATGATGAGATCAAGAAGGATGGCCCCACAATTGTCACATTGGGTGCTATGGATATCCAAGGTAAATAACACACTGCTGAAACCCTTGCAATGACAATTATGATAGCACTGGATGTGATGACCCAAGCACTTCTTACATTCTGACTCTAAGGCAACTACAGAATCACAGAATAGCTGAGGTTAGAACGGATCTCTGGATCCCACCACACTGCTCAGAGCAGGGTCAGTGGGAGCAGGATTGCCTAAGATCAAATCAGTCAGATGCTGAATGTCCCCAAGGATGAAGACTCCACAAATTCTCAACTGGAGCAACCTACTCCAGTGTCCAATATGTATGTTTTTTCTTATGTTCAGAAATGTCCCATGTTTTAAGACGTGCCCATTGCCTCCTGTTCTTTCATTGCACCACTGAGCATCCAACTAAGTAAAGACAACTGAGAAATCTCTGTTTCTTGCTCTGTGGAATCAAATGTTTGCTACCAGTCTAGCTGGGAGCTGGATCAGCATCTACAAATGAAAAGACTAACAAATGCCACTTGTTTCACAAACTCTTTGACCTGTCTTTTATTTTTCTTCTTGGCCTTGTGCTGTTGTTCCTTTCAGTCTGACTCTCAATTAAACAAGAATATATGAGTAAACAATCTCACTGATTTCATTAAGACTCACATTTGACTTTTCCAGGGAGTCTTCCAAGCTACTAATTACACAGGTAAACCATGAACAAATTAACAGTTGATCTGATCTGACTGTCTATTAAGATTTTAGGACTGCTGTTTAGCTCAGTTGCCTTCTGGGAAAAATTCCAGGCCATTCCAGCAGAAGAGCTTTAAGCTCTAGTACAAAAGCTGTTTTTACATGTCCTTTTATATGTTAGTCTTCACTTCATCACATTAATGATCTTTAGCTCCAGAGAAACACTCTTTGTATTGAACTGTGTTTTGATTTATTTATTTTCTCAATAAATAAAGAATTGATTATTTTTCTGCAGAAAAAACAAGAAACTTAACTCCAGAGAAGAGAATTTGTGACCAGCTGAAATACAATGATTACCATCGCTGCTTGTACATGCAACTCCAGCATGTAGAGATGGAGCTGGAATTACTGGGCCCCCATAAATTTCAGATGCCTCAGAGTTACACACAAGCTGTTTGTCAGGTTCAGCATATGAAGAACCTCCTGGAGAACCAAATCTGCTCATCAGCATCCATCAGTGAGGGGTAACCCAGTTCTCACTCTAAGTAAATTCAGGTCATGCATTCAAAATTGGGCAGGATGACAGAGCCCAAATAATTACTGCTTAACATAGGCTAGATAACTATTATTACATCTGTAAAAATAAGTCTTATTATTATAACACTGCAGGAGCTACAAAGAAATTTCTATGCACTGTGAACTGCACACAAAGGCAATAATGACAGATCATTGCTGTTTGTCATTTTTGCCTCCAAAGTGGAAAATTACAATAAATGCCATATGATAGTAAAGGGTTGGGATAATCACCCAGCTCCAAAGTCACAGAAGTCTCTTAAAATGTATGGATAAAGAAAAATTAATAAGCAGACAAAAATAGTTCTGTGAAATACGATTATTAAGTTGTAAGTATTGAAAACAATTGCACTAATCACGTCACTTGGCCATTATGGTGATCACAAGAGATTCATTCAGCAGATTTAATACACTCATAGCTTTGTCAATAGTTCTACTGGAGATTCAATTATGCATGAACTGAGGAGTAAAGAAGCCCATCACATTTATTTTGATTTTAGCCAATTCCTGCACACTTATTCATTTTTTTTTTCTCACTGTACTTTTTGGTATCCATATATCCTATATATCCTATGTCCATATATCCTATCAATTAAAAGAATATTTTGATTTTATATCATAAGATGTTGCCTATTCCCAGTGAACCTGATGACTGCAATTTTGGTTCCTGTTCCATCGCAGACTGCATTTTCTTTTCTGGTTCACTCTCAAGGTGGTCTCATAGTCCGAATTTGTCCAATGATGACAAGAAAAGTTCTTCTCCCAGAGGGCTGCCCTGGTGGTTTGTGTTCATTGCTTGGTTCCTTGTGGCAGCCACCAGCAGTGTGTCAGGGTTCTTCACCATGCTCTACGGACTCCATTATGGCAAGGAGAACTCCATCAAGTGGCTCATCTCCATGGTCATCTCCTTCTTGGAAAGTCTCTTCATCACACAACCCTTAAAGGTGGGAGCCTCGGAAATACAACCACCGGTCAAGATGAACTCACCTGCTACCATTGCAGGAAGACAATGTAATGTTCTAAAGAGCTGCAGGATTTAGGATATAAAATGAGAAGTCTTTGCCCTTAAAACAGGAGCAGGCAGGTGGTTTACAGAGTTCTGTTGGTTTTTGTTGACATTAACTCCATTAGTTTCATCTCCCTTGCTTTGTCAGGGTTTAATGATGTTTCTGACTAGTGAGGTGTGTCACAGAATCAGTTTAGCTGGACAAACTCCAGCACTGTTCTCTTGTTTATGGGCTTCAGCTGCATGGGTTCAACAAACCCAAAGCACAGTTGTTTTCCTGCAGTGCCTGGATCCAAAGGGATCCAGTTAAAGCCTGAGCTTCTTTATGTGAAATGGGAATATGGTGAGTCTATGGCTGATTCTTTCCAGGTGCTGGGATTTGCTGCTTTTTTTGCTCTGGTTCTGAAGAAGGTGGAACATGAGGATGAAGAAAACACAGCTATTGACGGGCCTTTATCTGCAGCAGGTAACTGCCTGCAAAGTTAAAAATTATTAAAGAAAGTGCAGAATTTTCCAAGCTTTTGGAGTCCTTTATGAATAAATATGTGACTAAGCTCAACTGGCTTGCAATAAAACCTCCAACTATTCCACAGCTTAGTGAAAATAAATAAGTGAACAGTAAAGAATGCACCCTTCATGTAGTCTGGTAGGTCTTTATCTGACAAGCATAACTAAAACCTCTCACAAAATATTTCCCACATCCTTTAAGCCCTATATGGACGTTCTCAGGTTACATACTTTTCCACAGCCACAATTATTTGTATTATTCCCCTAAACTTAGCAGTGGCTTCTGCAGTCATAATGATATCTAAATAAAGCCTTCACTAGCAGACAGGAATCCTAGGGCATAGCAAAGTTATCTGATCTACAGCTTCCTCCCTGCTCAGCCTCAGGCTTTGAATACACCACCTTCTGAGATGCTCAGCCTAGAGAGAGACACCTGGACACACCTGGTCCTAAACCCCACATACAGATTTTGTGAGCTCCTTTCCTCCCCACTGTTTGCCTTACAATTGCTATAGTAATTGTTTAAATCACATCCTCTGTATTCCTGAGGGAAAGCATTAGATAGAAATGTTTCCTTAGAAAGTCCAAACAAACAAAATGCAGGACATGGATGATCAATTGACTAATTCCAGGGTTCACTGCTCTCCCTCACAGGTGATTCACACCCTCTCTTCGGGGTCCGAAGGGACAGTAGAAGCAATATTTACCGGCCACCTCCTGCTGCTGATGTGGAGAAAATGAAAATCAGCTACATGAAGGAGCAGAAAGCATTTGCCCTCATTAGAGAAATCCTGGGTATTACCCATCAGTAGATTATCTTGTTTTATTCAGTAATACTCATCCGTAATTTTACATCAGTGAAAATATTGTTCTCTTGGGTGACAAAGCTTTGGCATATCTTCAGCTTTCTGCCAGCCATTATGATGTGGAGACAGGCTGTTCCCTGGCAGCTGGAGCTGCAGGGAGGTGGGAATGTTAGCTGGAGCTAAAAGTGTGGCTAAGGCTTCATTTTATGGTAAAGAAACACATCGCAAATGTGAGAGATTAAAGAAAGCAGAAAGGCTAATAGGAGGAGGTGAAGCATTAAATGAAGCTAAAACCAAAGAGCAGATGGAGGCCATCTTTCTAAAAGCAGATACTATCTATAGATAATGATTTATGCCCCTGTTTTATTTCCTCTAAAAAAAAAATTACCTCAACTTCACTTGGAACAAAGTTAGACTAGTCATTTTATTTGGAGCTACCCTGACTACTTCTATTCAGCCTTCCCATTTATTTTCTTGACAGCTACTCATATTCCAAATGTGAAACACTTAAACTGAAGCAGCTTGGGTGCATTCATTAGCACTGGTCACTCAGAGTCTACAAAGCACCTCCTTGGCCTAATGGCTGCTGGTGGCACTAATCATTCATGCAATCTATTTTGAACAGCATTGTTAAACCAGAGCTCACATGTGCTGTCTCTTTCTGTTTTTTTTCCAGCCTATCTGGGGTTTTTATGGATGCTGTTACTGGTTGCCTATGGGCAGAGGGATCCCAATTCCTACTATTTAAACAAACACATTGAGGACAGCTTTACAGATGGATTCCACGATGTCTACAGTTACCAGGATTTTTTCACATGGGCGAACACTACTTTACTCAAAAATCTTTATGGATCTTATAAAGGTGCAGAATTGCATTGTTTCCCTTCAGCTTTCCAGATTCTGAAACATTATCTTTAATACTTTACTACTCTAACTTACATATTTGAGTGGAGAAAGGGACTGTGAATTTATGAGGCTAGCAAGGAATCTTATAATATGAATACTAGTGGATAACAAAACCCCACATCTTGACTCTAAGTTAAACATCCCCTGATACTTTCCTTATATTTAATATGACCCAAAAGTTCTGCATTGTAATGCTAAATTTTTCACCTTTTATATTACTCCAGGTATTCAGATACATCAGAAAGTTTTGCACATCTTTCTTTCCATAATTTAAAAAAAAAAAAATGGCAGACAGGTGGCACCATACAGCTTTTCCTCAGGAGAGTTGTTTGCATCATGACTTGGGTCAATGTGAAGGCAAATTATGCAATCTCAGCATGTTTCTATCCAGCCATATCCAGTAAAATATGGCCCATTTTCCAGCTCACATTTCAGGGTAAATTTTGAAATATATTAGCAGAGTTGTTCTTTGGACATGACAGGCCACATGAGCACTGCATAAAGCTACTCCTCTATGGGTCTTGAGGTGAGTCACTTTTCTCCTCCAGGCCTCACTTTCCTTCTGTATAAAATACAGACAGGAGTGACAGAACTCTGTAATTGTGAATGTTATTTAAGAACTCATTTCAAATCAATATGAGGGTTTCATTTTCATTACTATTTTGCTTACAGTGTTTCCGAGAAAAGAATATATGGCAAACTATTAATGCATCAGTGAGTCATAAATAAAACAAAGAAATATTATTAATTTTGTCATATTGCCAGTACTGCTCTTTTCCATCTCCTGTTTAGGATTCATTACAGATGGCAATTCCAAGCTGGTGGGAAGTGCTCGAATTCGCCAAGTAAGAGTGAAAGGAGACACCTGCCCTATTTCTCCCAGACTCCACCACATAGTTGAGGAGTGCCACGCTCCATACTCCCTACAAACAGAAGATACCTCAGTTTATGGGGAGCACTGGAATACCTCAGCCCTTGATAACTCCTCTGACTTGAGCTCAGCATGGCAGTATCAGAGTCAGTCCAAACTGAGAGGACACCCCAGCTGGGGTAAACTTGCCATCTACAGCGGAGGGGGATATGTGGTTCACCTGGGAACTGACCCTAAAAATGCCTCCAGGTACCACTTGTATTGTAAATTATCAGTGCATCCTCCATGTGATACTGTCTCATTCCTGTATGAATTAGATCACTGGCTACACATTCTTTTGGCAGAATTCTCCAGTACCTTTTCAACAATGTCTGGCTTGACACCTTCACAAGAGCAGTGTTTGTTGAATTCACAGTCTACAATGCCAATGTGAACCTGTTCTGCATTATAAGCCTGATGTTTGAAAGCAATGCTTTAGGTAAGAGCCTTTCCTAAATGACACATTACAGCAAGAAATGCACCTACAGAAAGAAGATTTACACACTATCAGTATTTTCCTAGTTCTTTCTTCAGGAAAGACAAGTGTATTAATAAATCTAATAATGAGAGAATCAATGCAAATTTTCTAAACCTTTTAGGAAAAACGCAGCATCACAGTAATATAGACCACAATGGAATATCTTATGTTTGCTTATGCTGTGGTCATCTGCTGATGAAGAAAACATGACACTGAAACTTGATCTCGAGAATTTACACAACAGGAACAAGAAAAATCCTATTTCCTAATCATTTCAGCTAATCAATAAAATATTAGGACAAAAATGCAAATAGCAGTCTGTCTTTTTTGGTCCAGATGACTTCTAATGTAAAGCTATGTAATCATGTAATATATAATCTGGATGCAACAAAGAGAATAGTGAAAGTAGATTCTGGTTTAGGGGCTATAGTAAAACATTTGGCCTGAGCAGGAGCCTCCTTAGGGTGTGTCTAAGTATTAGAAAATGCCCAAACTGAGCTCATTTTGGGTTTAGAATGAGATTCAACTTTTTTAAAAAATTACAAGTACTGTTGTATTTCTGCACTTGCAGTCCAATCCGAACTCAGTCCTACTGGGATTACTATTGTGCTGTCACACAAGACTCAAGCAGACAAGCACTACCACTCTAAAAGCTTTGACTCTCTGAAATTCCTGTTTTAAGGAAAATTTCAAACCCTTATAAGGTTACTCACATAGCCAAGTCTAAATCTGATTTCAGTGGTTGGATTCAGGCTCACGTTATTGTGAAAGCAAGTACAGAAGTCTCACTGGTGAATTGAGTTGTTTGAATGAAAGCAGAAAGAGCCCTGAGGTGACACCTGTTTGCTTTTTAGGAGCCTTCTTCACAAGTGCAGAGCTGCAAAGTGTCCGGCTCTACCCCTACACCAACAGCCTGCACATCTTTGTGGTTGCAGCAGAAGTCATTTATTTCCTCTTCATTGTGTACTACATGATAGTACAGGTGAGGCCCACTGGAAAGTTTTGCTAAGAGCACTACCTTGTGTCTGCTGTTCATTTCACTTCCAAATGCTTTAGGACTGTACTTGATTTCAGTAGCACTGATGCTGCTGCACCAGTGGAAGATGGAATCAGGTACAGTGTGAGTATCAAATAATAGGAAAGCAACACTTTATTTGGCTTGGATGCTGTTTTTGAGAAAGATAATGAGAAACTAGTGCAAGATGTAGTTTTATTAATGCAGAGCAGTCTGTTTAATTGTGGAGGCCACTGCCCTAATCTTCAGAGATGCACTGTGTGATATGGAGTCATGAGACTGAAACAGTAAAACTCCTCACAGGGAAAGCTGCTGAAGAGTCTGAGATGGAGGTACTTCCATAGCAAGTGGAATCTCCTGGAGATGGCCATTATATTGATTAGCTGGAGTGCTCTGTCAGTGTTTGTGAAACGGACGGTCCTTGGGACACGGGACATCAGCTACTACCAGGAACATAAGGAGAAGTACTAATGCTATTTTGTGCATCCTTTGTTGTTGCTACTTATGCAGAAATAAAGATATTTTTCCTCTTCCCAGATAGCACCTTTTCTGTGCTAAATATTGCTATCCTAGATGGCTTTATATTCATGAAGCCTATAAGTGTGTCAGGGCTTAGATTTGTGTCAGCAATAGGATTTTCTTCTGATACTGCTCTAATAAAATCCAGCAGACTTGAGCACCGAGTTCCCTTTTCTAGCTCCTACTTTTCTGTCTGCATCACCCTCTTGTGAACCAACAAGCCTTTCTGCTATAGGACATTCACCCAGAAAGCACATAAACTACCTTGTTCTTCGTTGTAAAAAGCCATTGGTTAGAGGACAATAATAGAATATTTAGTACAGAATGGAAGATTATAATATCTTTTAAAAAATGGTAACACACAAAAGAGGTGATGAAATCACAGGATAATGAGCAGAATTTGGGCCATAGCCTAGACTGCCTCTCCTTAAAATTGTTTGCCATGCACAACTGAGCTTTTTATGTGCACACAATAGTAGTGCAGGTAGAAACACTCAAGCAGGAGCACATTAGGTCTCCACTGAAACCCCAGCACAGGGTGACTGGCTTTTCCAGCATATCCATTTATGCACTTCAAAAGATTCTGTGTGCATGGTATATTATGTATTTTCTTTTTTTTTCCTAACAGCTCCATAAGCTTCAGTGAAACAGCAAGAGCTGATGCAGTTCTTGGCTACCTGATTGCATTCCTGGTGCTTCTCTCCACAGTGAAACTGTGGCATTTGTTGAGGCTCAACCCTAAACTGAACATGATCACTTCAACACTAAGGAGGGCATGGGGTGATATCTCTGGATTCATCATTGTTATTGCAATCATGTTTCTCGCCTATTCCATTGCTGTGAGTACCACAGTGCTTTCTCTTGTCTGCAGTCTGCTGCCAGGTACTGTCAAGTTAAACCAACTATTTTTGAATGCTAAAAACAACATAGCTTTGCCATGTAAAATGGAATAAAGCTGCCTGTCTAAATCTCAGTTTAGCAGCTTGGTGCCCAAGTTTTCCAGATGAGTGAAAGAGAAGTTAAAACATCCAGTTATCTGTTCTTTGCAAACTGAAATTTAGTGAAAAATCAAACACTGAGCTGAAAAATAAGGACTCTTTATGTGTAATAGATGTGACAAAGAACAAAGTACAGGAAATAATACTTTCTGGATAAAACTTAAATTGTGGAGCACTCAGGAAGTGCCATTTTCTGTTTGGCTAGGTATGAGTGGGAAATAGTTGCATATGTAGTGGCAGGCAGAGAAGATATAAGACATTCTCATATCCATGATAAAAGGTCTTCAAGTTAAACACATTTTGCAGCAAGAACTCTGATCATGACACAAGACATGACTTCTGTCCTCTGCAGGCAAACCTGATATTTGGCTGGAAGCTCTACTCTTACAAAACTCTCCTTGATTCGGCAGAGACCATGGTCAGTCTTCAGCTGGGAATCTTCAACTATGAGGAGGTACCACATCTAATTTTGAGAAGTTTACAGCCATATAATTGGTATCTCAGCTATCAAATATGCTTTGACCCAACAAATAGAAGGACTTTCAATTAGTGCTAAACATTAATTTTACAAGCTCCACAACTCCCTAAAGCCATCACCCTTTCTAAGCAAGAAAAGGACATCAAGTGAAACATTTTTCATGTTCTATTTTGACCATGAGGAGGCTCATAATGAACCTTTCATTAAGAATCCTGCTCAAATTTCAACTAGAGATGTTATTAATTTATTACAAAAAGTTTTGAGCAATTTCCTTAGAAAGCTACAGATAGAGTTGTGAACAAAGCCCTGTGTTTGTTCTGAACACCCCTTCTCTCTTCCCAAGAAAGGCAAGGCCTTCCACAAGGGAACTTTATGTTAATTTCTTTTTTTTTTTTTTTTTTTTTTTATTCTTTGTATACCACTTTTTCAGTAAGATCTTTCAAATATTTCAATATCCTTTAAACATTTCTTTGTGGATTAATTATTGGACATCTCTGACTGTGAAAAATATCCTCCTTGGTGGATTGGATCCAATAGGATATGAGTGGCTCTGAAGATCAGCCATTTGGCACATTTGGCACATTTTCACCTCTACATCCCACTCATGTTAATCATGAAAATATATTTCTATGTTGTAGCTTATATAAAAATTAGTGGTTTGATTTTTCATAACCCTTGGTTTGTAAGTGTCTCTGACAGTCTGACTGTGCTTCTTTGTAAAGCATACAGTAAAATAAATGAAATGCATACAGGGATTTCACCTATTTTGAAAGCTGAGACATTAGGAACCTCAACTGGTCTGTGGATAAACAGATCTCCAGGTTTGTGAATTTTAATGTGAAACTGTCATGCCATTACAATTAAATGCAAATACTTAAAAACCTCCAAAGATTGCCCATATTCACACACATATATATAAAATATTCTGCTGTCTTTGTACTATATCATATCAACAAAGGATAATACTAGAGTAGAAAATTTATATATGTGTATAATACATATGTCATAATTGATTAGACACAGGATTTTCAAGGTGATAGACTTCTTATTGGGTCTTAACTGCTTGTATGTATATATGTAGATAGGTATTTATGCTTTTTTGTTTGTTTTTTTTGATATCTTACCTTATGCATGATACAGGTCTTGGACTACAATCCAATTTTAGGCTCCTTCTTAATTGGATCCTGCATAATTTTTATGACATTTGTGGTACTGAATCTGTTCATTTCGGTGATTCTGGTTGCTTTTAGTGAGGAGCAGAAGCATTACCAGGTTTGTTCATCTAAGCTCTCTTGCTTTTAACATTTTTTGTTCAGTGCTTACTCAGGTATTCAGCCATGGATGAAAGCCATGTAAATTCAGTCCAACTCTTAAGAAGGCAACATTTGCTCAGAAAGTACAATTCAGATTTTCCAGATTTACACTGTCCATTCGTGTTCAGATGAGTCCCTGTTCAGATCTGATTTGTAGCCTTCTGTTCACATACTACATCCATCAAAAAACTCTTGGGCTTGTGCTGGGCTGTATTGAAATCAGTGCCAAAACTGCTACTGAAGTGCATGAGGCTTTACAGCTTCTTGTAGAACTCTCACTGTGTGTGCCTAACCCATTCAAGCTATTGATAGTGTGGTGTGAAATCCATCTTAACACTCCAGTACTGACCAGAGTTCCTCTATGTTTTATGGAAAGTCAAGGGGGATGAAAACAAAGGATATGGTTGATAGAATACAATATATATTTAGTTTTTCTCATTTACTTCAGCTTGAAATAGTGTGTGTCTCATTGTGTATACCATGAACCGTATGGGAGCTGGTAAGTGCATTCCAGGCTCCTGTAGAGAGATTATCAGCCAAAATTTCTGTAGTGTCCATACTCATCTGGGGCTTCTGTCTGGATAAAAATATTGGCACAATGTTTTGCTTGGCAGTCACTCAATGCTCTGTTGAAAGTTGGCTTATTTCACCTCAAGTAGGGATTTTGTCTTGCAACTTGCCCTGGCTTTAGCAGAGACTGAATCCACTCTGGGTGTCCACCTCTTGAGTAACTTATTTGTTATTATTTCAGGCTTCAGAAGAAGAGGAGATTGTTGATCTAATGCTAATGAAACTCTTCAGTTTCTTTGGGATAAAATGCAAGAAGGAAGAGAAGCCAGTTGCTGGTGAACAGCTGGAACAACCTGCCAGCGAGTGAATGAAGGCCACCTAGAAAAGTCACTTCGCTTCTGGGCAAAGCATTTACTTGTATGCTATCAGCTGCAGTGGTTAGAGTTAGGTTAGGCTATAGGCTTAGGTTATTACAGCTTCTGATTAAAATGGGTTTACTCAAGGGAATGGCTGGAGCTGTGCCGGGGAGGTTTGTGTTGGGTATTAGAAAAGGGTTCTTCACCCAGAGGGTGTTCGGGCACTGAACAGGCTCCGCAGGGATGGGCACGGCCCCAAGCCCAAGAGAGCATCTGTACAATCCTCTCAGGCACGTGTGGGATTGTTGGGGTGTCTCTGCAGGGCCAGGAGTCTGACTTCGATTCTCGTGGGTCCCTTCCCATGATTCTGGGAATACGACGCGGTGTTCACCCCTAAAGTGCTGCCGGCACGTTGTTGTGGAGTAACAGCTAAGAAATAGCGGTAATCCTAAGGCAAAACGTCCCACGTGCACTTGCTGTAGTCTTGGCGCCTGTATTTATTCAATAAACACCGAGCGGCTCTTGCACTGCCTGGCTCCATCCTCTCCGTCTCCGCCGCGGCGGCGCACGGAACATGGCGGCTCCGCTCCCTCAGGGCCCCGTGCCCGCTGCCGGCGGGGCGAGGAGCCGAGCCCGGAGGAGCCGGGCCCGGAGGAGCCGAGCCCGGGGCACTCCCCAGGGCCCGCGGGTCCCCTCGGGTCCCGTCGTGTCCCCTCGGCCGCCGCCGGCCCCGCCCCGCCGCCATCGCCATCGCCACCTCCCGCCGGTGCCGCCCCCGCCCGCCCCCGGCAAAGATGGCGTGGCGAGCGCTGCGGCGGGTCGGGCCGGTGCTGGCGCCGCGCTGCCCGCGCCTCCCGCGCCTCCCGCTGCCACCGCGGGAGCCCGCGGCCCGCAGGCTGGGCACCAGCTCGCTGCTGCTGGCCGGTGAGTGGCGGCCCGAGGGAGGGAGGTGCGCGGCGGGCGGGCGGGACAGCGGCCCGGTGCTGCGGGGAGCCGGCGGTGCCTGTGCCCGGCAGGGTGGGCAGGGTGGGCTGCGGGGGCTCGGCCCGGTCCAGCCCGCGGGGGAAGCCCCCACCAGGCGGGGCTGGGTGCGCGGAGCTGCCGGAGTGCGGGTCCCGCTGGCGGCAGCCGCTCTCCGTCGCTCTGTCCCTCCCTCCTCCCCTGCCTCCCGCCGTGCCGTGTCCCCGCGGCCCTTCGGAGCGCGATGCTGCAGCCGCCCGGAGCCCCCCGGTGTCCGGGGATCCCCGCAAGATGGCTGAACCCCCGAGCGCCCCTCACCTGCCCCGGGCGCTCCCACAGGAGCGGCCTCACCTCCGTTAGTTGCCCAGAAACTTTCAGCCTCATCTCCACAGCGCAGTTTGGAGCAAAGCGGCTCAGTCCGCTCTGGGGAAGGGGAAAGAGGCGGAGTGGGCCGAGCGGGGAGCACAGCGGCTTGCCCAAAACAGCGGCTCGCTTTTGCCGGGATTGCCGCTCACAAGCAGCGCGATGTTGGCTCCGAGGAACATCAGCAGCCCGAGAAAGGGGCAGGGGTGGGTGTCTGGCGAGGGCAGAGCCGCAGCAGGACTGCCGCGGGCAGCCGGACGGACCCAGCCGGGCTCGCAGGGCCTGAGCCGCTCTGGGCTGCACGAGTTTCGCTCTGGCTCCTGTGCAGCCACCGCGGCACGGCACGGCATGGACTCGTGCATCACTGCTTGCTGCGATTCTGCATTTACTGTAGTGAATTCTGAAAGCGTCTACTGCTGTCAAAGCTCTCTTCGAATGGAAGTTACCCACGAAAGTCTGAAAAACAGAACCTGTGACAAACAGAAGTGTTGAAAAAGTGGGCAAGAAGAGGAGGCGAATAGGCTGTAAAAGTAATGACTACCACTAAGAAGAGCTCATCCATTTCTTTCCAGACGACCTTGGACCTACCTATTTAATTGTCTTCTTCTGCAAGTGAAAGATATATTATTTATTGTTCATTACTTGCAAACTGAGTCAAGATCTAAGCTGTTTTTCACTATTCTGGCCAACGTACCCATTGTTTTCCTATACACATCACTTGAAGGAATAACAAACAGTGCTTCTGTTTGAGGCAGAGAGGAAAAGTTTTGTATGCCTCTGTGTGGAGGTGTGAGTTCACTTTTCAGGTATATATGACATAGTTAATAGAGGTAGGTTATACTAAATGAAGGGTTGAGTTCAGAGTGTGCTAGTTAAACAGAAACCAAAGTCCTGTTGAAATTGAATGAAGCTAGAGTACATTCAGCTGCTTTTCTGTAAAAGAATGCAGAGAGAGATTTGGTATGCATTGACATTTCATATTCCTTTAGGTTGATTTATTTAATGGGCTGACCACATAATCTCAAAGTTCAAATTTTGAGATTACTTATTAACTGTTTTTAACTTGACCTTTACTTTATTTGCAGTGTTTTTGTTGCATGCTCAGAATTTTAATTTTTCACGTTTTTTTGTTTGGTTTGGTTTTTTTCTTTGTGCCATGTGTAACGTCATTAATGTTCAGCTTGAGTTTGAGATTTGTCAATTGTCATTCTCCATTCTTACGGTTCATTACTCATTTCCAATGGAATCCCCATGAGTTTAACATCTGGACCCAAAATGATTTGAGACATTTAAGACTCTGTTCATTAGAGTGTGTAATGAGATTTTTTTTGTAGTTATAAGTAGTGCTAGATGAAATTCTTTGGATTTTTGACTGATAATTAATGGGAGAATACTTAATGTTTACCATTGACTCATATTTGTTTGTGTATTATACTTGCAAACCCACATATTGTTCTGCTGAGCTCTATAATATTTGGGCCCTATTCTAAGACAAACCATTTGCTACTCTTGAACTTTTCAGACACAAGAGGATCACTGCAACTGAAGAAGCTTAAAGTATTGAGTGTGTGGAAAGATTTTAGCAGATCTACAGTGAGAGCTTCTGTTTTCCTTCATGTACAGTTTTAGAAAATACACAAGGAGTATACCAGTATACAGGTGCAGAAGTGTAGTTTCTCTGGTGTTTGCCTTAAAGAGTTCAGCCCACAGGATGAGCTTGAGAGGAGAGTTGAACTCAAAAGGAAGGTACAGCTGTACTACTGTGGCACTAATCACTCAGGGAGCTGTTTCAGAAGTTACCTTTTCCAGTTTCTGCAACATCCCTTGCCTGACTGGATGGGTGCTGAAAGTGGAAAATAAATTAATTACAATTTTTTTTTAAGTATGAAGGTATCTACAGGGATATTATGTAGAAATGAGAAAACGGACATGGCAGGCTGAAAATTCTCAGAGTAAGAAAAGTTCCAGGAAAAATGTTAGCAAGAAAAATGTTACTTGTTTCAATAACTTCTTTTGAAGTTTTTCCATATGTCTTTATAGAAACAATTGCCTCTGATAAAGCTGTTTTGAGTCTTCCAGATCTGAAATGTAAGGAGAATTGTAAACTTGCTGTGAAAGGACTTAACAAGGTTTTAACAGACCTATTTCAAAGTGATACAGAATAACTGCTGTGTTCTCCTCACAGTGACAATATTAACAGAGAGCAATTCTATTAAGTAGCAGTTGTCTGAGTTGCCTAATTAATTTGTCCTGTATTAATTTGCCTTAATAATGCATAGAACTGTGCCAGCTTTGCACTTGGAATGAGATGCTGTAATGCTCACAATGTTTCTAGAGTCAGCAACGCTGGCCTTCCCAGCCATAATAAATAGTTATCCGAAATAAACACCAAATATGTTTGAAAAGCCACTGTGCTATCATAGAAATGTATAACTATGAGTAAAATACACATCTAAGCTTTAGATTTGCACTTCTGTTTGAAGTAGAGCTGCTCTTTTTGCTCCTGTACTTTATCAGTTTCCAGATGGTTGCACAGGAACCGATAAGGCTCTGAGCAGGACACCCAGTGAGCCTCTGCCCTGTCACTGAGCGTGTTCTGAGCTTCTGTAAATTGCATGTGCTGGTTAAAATATTTTCCAAGAAAAATGAACAAACTCAGTGAAAGGCCCCATGGTTTAAGCCTGCAAATGTGTTACTGTATTTAAGTGAGCAAGATGTCACTTCTGTCTGAAATGTCAGCTTTGTTTCCTTTCAGCCCGCAAATTCACAGACAAGCACGAGTGGATATCTGTGGAAAATGGCATTGGAACAGTAGGAATCAGCAATTTTGCACAGGTATTGATCCCCCTGCCCTTGCCCAGGTCTGCAATATTTATTTATGCCTATCTGCTCTGTCCTTGCTCTTTGGACATTTACGGGGGTTTATTTTATTGTTTTAATTGCATATGCAACACAGTGAGCCTTCTTTGTGATATTTGTGCCACTTCAGCATTCTGATAAGGTCTTAATGGCTTCAGATTGAGCCTGTGAAGAGCTGAACTTGGTGAGAGACTTCAGTGTTCAGATCTAAGCCTGAGCATTCGTGGCTGTGTGAAGAGGACATAATGTACATTTTTAGGTCAGATTTCCTTTGAACACAAAGATGGTGAAATCTCTCTGGCTAAAGGACAGTTGTGAACAGATGTACAGCATGGCATGTAGTTTTTACTCTAGGATAGGAATTCCTTTGGATTTTTTGTTCTCATGCAGGTACCTGATTTGGAATAGTCACAGGCAAATTCTGGGCTGTATATAAAACTTAAAGAATGGGACAAGCTATCAATAAATAGAATTCATGTTTCTCAAGACAAGCAGTATTTCTTTTAATCTCAGGTGTCTGTCAATAACTCTTAATACTCTCTGGTCTTTTGTGAGAAAGAGTGTATGTGTCAGGGAAGAGTTGAGACAATTTTTATGGTGATAAGGGTCCCAATTAAGTCAGTGAGGACAAACGGTGTGCTAACAGCTCTCTGTGGCTGATGCTAAGAAGATCAGCAGATGTTATTCCTCATTCTGCCAGAAGAAATCTGCATATAGACTTAGCCTGAGGCTTATTAGCACTGCAATAGAGAAACAATATTTTGGTTTTTGGGGCATGATAACACAACAGTTTGTTCACATTAAGTATTTGCTAAGAAAAAGTGAAAAATATGCAATCTGTAAAGAATGAGAACAATATTTAGAGGCAGAGAATATTTATATGCAGATTCTAGAGTCACTGTAACAGTTCTCTCCTATATGTAGTTTTGTTAATGTATGCTCTAATGCTTTTGTTTTTCTTTTAAGGAAGCATTAGGAGATGTTGTTTACTGTAGTCTTCCAGAAGTTGGGACAAAATTGAGTAAACATGGTAAGTTTCAGTTCTAGTTGCTCCTGAAGTGATTATTCTACTCATCCCACTCTTCCCTTGCAAAGACAAATTTTCTGAAATAATATTAATGGTTATTAATACCATTGTAAAGCTCCTGGATACAAAATAAATTCAGGTATTTCTACAGGAGACAGCTTTACTTTTCAATTCTCACTGTCAGACTGTGCTTAACAGCAGAAAATACATGCTTTTAAAACTGTGATGATATTGATTCAAAAACAAAGTATTAAAATATTTTTGTGATAATTTTATCTATATTCTTGTTTCTAAAATATGATCTGAACTTTCAAGTGTTTATTTGTAATTCTCCAGTTATGCACTTTGTGAGTTGCATGATGTTGATATCACGCTCTAATTTTTCTATGAATATTGAGACTCAGTAATTTTGAGGTATCAAATATGATTACAGTTTTTGCTTGTTGGTGGTGTACAAGTTGTTACATTCTTCATCATTCAATTATGTAACTTTTCCTGTTAAAGAAAGTGAACATTAACAGGTAGAAATAAAAAAATCTTTTCCTGTATTATGGTGGAGAGCTGTCTCAGTAGTATAAGAAGAAAAAATTGTCATTATTTTGAGACAATTTTTTTAAAAGAAATGGGGGTTGATGAGGTAAAGTAGAAGGCCTTTCTTCTGCCATCCTTCTTGTGGAATAGATCCCCATCAAACTGTTTTGTCCAAATCTATTACACTGAATACTGACTGTTAGACAAAAGGTCTCTCTGTGTAGGATTTTAATTAACCAACTTGTAGTTTTGCTTTATTTGAAGGAATTTCATTTCCATTTAAGTTCTCTTTTCTACCCATTCTGGCCTCAGCCTAATTCCAGGCTTTCCCAGAACAAGTTGTTCTCAGATCCCTTGTCCTGGTGCCTATCTACTCTTGTGACAGCTCCCTGTTCCTTCAGCCTCTGTCTTGTTTGCTTGTGGCTGAGAGCTGCTCTGGATTAACTTTGCTCCAGGCCCCATTTCCATAACTCCCTACAAAACAGGAAAAAGGGAAGAGCTGCTGGGTGCTTCCAGTGTGGTGCTTCTGAATACTAATGTGTGTTTTCCAGTGAGTGCAAATATAACACTTGATAGTGCTTCTGAAGGAAAAATGGGATTGCTGAAATTGTGGCTTTGTTGATTTTGTAACCAAATTACAAATAAAAAGGTTTAAATTATAGATAAAAGACATATTTCAGTCTCTTGCAGCAAGACCTGGGTGTTGTTTCTTCCTGTGGGCTTCAGGCAAAAGATTAATGAAATGTAAGGAATTCCTGTCCCTTCTGTAGTAGCCAGCTAGCACAAATTCCCCAGAATTCAAGAGCATAAACATCAAATTTAATAATGCTGATCCTTGTCATAAAGTGGGTGACTTCAATCTGTTTTCTTGCGCAAGATCAAAACATTTCTTCACTGGTTGGATCATCACCAGGATGTCTTGACTGAACAAATGGAAATGCTTTGTGTTTTCCCCTTAGAAATATGCAATAATATTCTCTGTTTCAGATGAGTTTGGGGCTTTGGAAAGTGTGAAAGCTGCTAGTGAACTCTACTCCCCTCTCTCAGGAGAAGTGACTGAGATTAATGCTGCCCTTGCAGATAATCCAGGGCTTGTCAATAAATCCTGTTATAAAGATGGTAAGATGTCACTTTTATCTTTGAATAATAAATACTGTGTGGATTCTTGCTGCTACAAATGGCTCTGCAATTCCTGTTCTTTCAGTTTAATGGTGTAGAGACTTAAATGGAATATACTGAATATAGTTCAAGCCCAGTAAAATTTAACATAAAAGCATTATCACAGCTGTTTTACATATTATTTTCAGATATACACTGTGGCTGAATTTAAATCTATTTGCCTTGACTGCATTTCTGGGTTTTGGCTCTCGTAAGAGTTCATGACACTGAGAGGTCAGGCTCCTTTATTCTTTCAAGACAGCATCTCCCTCTGCCACTGTCACTAAATTACACAACTGCTCTGACTCAAAAAGTCATTTCTTATGATGAGTTGGTTGGTTATTCATTTTTTTAAAATACTGAAATGTTGTTCTGCCTGCACAAAAACCTGGCTGATTCTTCAGTGATCCAAGGCTGGTTGTTCCTGCTGGGATTGCTTTCCTAAGGCAGTATCATGATTTAATTGTTCTTGTAGGATATTAGCAATTCTTTTTAATTTCCTAACTACAGGTTGGCTTATCAAGATGACTGTGGCAAACCCTGCTGAACTTGATGAACTGATGACTGAAGATGCCTATGAGAAATACATAAAATCCATTGAGGACTGAGCTGGAATACTGAAATAAATTCATATAAAATATCTCAGTGTAGTTTGTCATCAATTAAGGAAATACTGAATATCCAGTTTTGGCAACTTGAAAAATACCACTTAAGATCACATATACAAGACTATAAATAATTACAGTGATAAATGTGTTTCACTTCTGTGTACCTGTGAGGATTTTTTATTGTGTTGTCTGATTCATGTAACTGCAGATGTTATCTATAATATTTTGGGAAACAAAATTCACTTGCTGAAATACAGTTCCATAGATTCATTTGACATCAAATTTAGTAACAACAGCCTTAGCATGTTAATTTTGTCATAGGCACATGACTCTTCTCATTACCTGGGCTATAATTTTCTCTGAAATACTTTTCTATTGCTCCCAAACCACTGAAAAGCAGTGTCTTCCTAACCTACTCATGTTATTCTTTCTTAGGGTTACAAAGATGTTACCAAAAAAGGAGAAGCCATATCAACTACCTCTCTGCATGACTTTTATTTCTTTACAGAACTTATTAATCCTTTGCTTTCTTTCTTTTTTAATTTTTTTTTTTTTTTTACTGTGTAATCCAGTAGTCCTGCCTGTGAGGCAGGAGGGATGAGGCCCTGCCTCCCCCTTTCTGTGCTTTCCTAGTGTGCAAAGCTCCTGCAGTGGTTGTTCATCAAGGTTCTACAGTGGGTTATTTAGGCTGTATTTTTGTCTAGTGAACACTACCTAAGTCACAAGTAATTAAGGTGTTAATTTTACATCCTTTGCCTGGCAATTGTGGTGATTTCAGCAGAGCAGGTACTTGTGGAAATAGTTTGACATATCATGTATTCATGTGTGTCTGTATTTAAGATCAAGTAGCCAACTGCTCTAATGACATCACAGAACCGAACCCAAAACTTACCCTTTGCAAACCAGTGAACTAAAGCAACTGATTCCATTAGACTTAATATTTAATGAATCCACAAATGTGAACTCAAAGTTGATGTGACAGCTGATGGGAAGGTGGACTTGTACACACCTGAACTTTAGGAAAGCACAATAGTACAGCAGAATTTTGGTCTAAAACTTTTCCCCACAATTTTAAAATGGTCATTAGCAGCTAAGCACAAAATTGGAACAAACCCCAACGATTTAGGTTGATCTAAGAGGAAGCAGGGGAATGCTTAATTCATGAAAGATGACTAAAGCAAAATTCATATTGCTTTGAAAGTTCCTTCTTTCTAAAGGGATGTGAATCACTGACCTTCTAAAGTGCATAAATAGACTGCTGGTAATATAGAAACCTTTCTAATGTATAAAAAGGATTTCTTTATGATCTGAGAGGATGTCAAAGTAATTGCTTTGGTGGTTTTTGGGTTTAAATCCTAGGAGGAAACCTTTGCTGCACAGGTCACACATCAAAGCCCTGCCAAGAGAGAATCCACTGTGTATTTAAGATGGTTTCATCTTCTCCACGGGAGTTAAACTGCAAAATGAGTAAGAGGAATGAGGGAGTTTGACTGTTCAAAGGAGTTCTAACTTGGCAGTGGCTGATAAACAGAAGACTCTTGTAAACCTAGTGTAAATGTTTTAAAAACTCTCAGTACTTATCTATTATTCACAGTTCCATGCAGTATTTATTGTGACAACATTCAGGGCTCAGAGAGCTGGGAGCTTGGTCCTGACCTCTTAGAAACTCCCTGCCTCAGTTTGTCTTTTATGCCCTGCTCACTTTGAAAGGGAAAGGGAATGTTTGTTTCAAATACAGTTAAGTGTAGGCAAATGGAGGTAGGAATGCAGGAAAATGTTTCTATTTGATACTGTTTCTTTCACCATCCTTTTTTCCACTTGGCTAGAGAGTAACAGGCCCTTCATTCTTTGCCATGTAACATGTTACCCTTGTTGATCTTCCCTGTAGAGATTATAAAAATGTAATACATTTTTATAACATTTCCCCTTTAAATGTTTGTATTCTTTTATTTTGATTAATAAAATAGTAATTTTGGCAATGACCTAGGGAACCTGGGGAACAATAAAAGCTGGCAAACCTGTTCTCAGACTTTGCCAATTCAAACAGTATTAGCAGTTTACATACATCAGTGTGGGTAAATGACAACTGTCTGGGAAAAGTACCTGAAACAGAATTCAACCTCTCTTTCATGGTGTATAGGTGGAAAAGTGATGTTCTTTTGCTTAAAGAGGAGGATCAAGAACATCTCTATCCCTAATTGGTTTACAATTTTATACAACTTTAAAGTGACTTATTCCTCTTAAAATGGTAACAATAGCACCTTAGTACTATTGTTTCCATTTTTTTCTTGTTTCGTGTGGTTTATGCCAAGAGCTGTGGTGTTCTGCAGTTTAGGACAAATTATGTCTATTGGACCAAATATTTTTATACCTTTTTATAATTCGCTCAACTACCTGGATTATGCTGCTAAAAGAACGTGTTCTTCCTTGTTGTATGTTTGCTACCCAAGCAGAGCTCCAAACATCTCATGACTTCACTAAGTTCAGCAGCAGCAGGAAGCCTCAGGCAGGCTGCAAGAGCATGAATGCAGCACTTGCTGACATGAATCCACAACAAATGTGTTTATCAACATAAAAAGATGGAGTGAATGTGCATCACCTTTGGTCTATGACACAATTTTAAATGTTTTTGTATAAATTGTTGGGGAAAACATCAAACTTGTTCATCAGCATGTGCTCCTACAGAAAATTAATAAAAAGGGTGATTTCTTACAAAAATAATCACTTTATCTCTGACCTCTTTAGTCTTGATCCTGAGCTTAAGAATGTAACAATTACAGAGTAATTTATATACATTATAGGTGCAATATTGAGAGATTTGCTTTTCAGCAAGTTATAATCCCACAACCAAAAGTTACATCTCTGTATCTCCTGGGGGTTAATTATACCACAATCTTTATTTGGGCCAACACTTCATCACTGTTCCACAAGTACCAACCTCTTTATCTCCCCAGTTATCTATCTGACTAATAGAAGCTAAACTTGGAACTAAGTTTTTCAGTCCATATTTTATTTTTAAAGATTTTTATCAATGCCACTCCCCTAAAGCTTGAATACCTTATATTTTGTCTCTTTTTCAGTCAGGGGGTGCTGCATCTTTCTGTGACTCTTGGGCTTGTAATGTATATAAATAGAAATCATGTATTGTTAGTTCTTACTAGAGAGAGAGAAAAAAATTCAATGTTTAAAACTAAGAGGACTAAAATACATCAAAACACTGCCAAGTGTTTTGATGAGCATAAAAGAAGGGCAATGTCATCTGCACTCTCATTAAATTAGCAGTGAGACAATCTGTTAAGCAGCTCTGAATAGAAGTGCAGCAGACCTCAGTATCCAATGCTTGCCTGAACTGGTGTCTGCAGACCTGTGGCTAAGCATCCTCTTTCCTTTTCCTTCACACTGATTAGTTGGGAATCTAAAATCTCCCCGTAGAAATGGTTCCCATCACTGAGTTTTAATCTGCCAAACTGACACAGAAAGGACACGACATCCATCTTCAGACCAGCCGAGTGAATAAACTGCACTGCAGCAATCAGTCAACCCCTGAGCACACGAGGCTTTTCTGCTGTGGTGTGGGCACAGCAAAGAGGCAAAGTGAACTGCACCACCTGCACTAAATATTCTGGAGAAGACAAAGAAAGCCTAAGAATATCACAGAATTATTTAATAAACACAGGTCATCAGTGGAAAAAATGCTTCGAGTCGCAAACGGTGCTCTGACTGAAATGACTCCAGTTAAAAACAGGAATTATCGCAGAATTCACCACGCGGTGGCACTTGGCACCTCGGAGCCGGGGCGGGAGCTCCCGCACTCGCCCGGGGCAACTGCAGGAGCAGCAGAAAAGATGAAGGCACCATTGGAAATGTGTAAAACAACACAAACACATTTCTCACAGCACTGCACGTAACAAAGATATTAACTTAAACCTCGTTTCGTTATACCCATCGCCATGTGACTGAACTGATGGAAAACAGCACCCCTGGGGATTCTATTTCCAGGGAACAGGACCTCATGACTGAAAGGCAACATTAAAACACTCTGGAGCAACGTCCAACCTTTGCAAATTACCATCAAGATATGCTGCAGATGGCACAGACAAATTTTGAGAGCAGCTTAGGAGTGTCCTTGATGTAATTTTCTCCACTCTCTCCACACTGTGAGACAGTCCAAGAACAGTCCTTGGCAGGAGAATTGACTCTGTGGTATCTGGATCGCTTAGAGTTTGCCCCACGATATTGATGTCTCTCTCTTCCTGACAAAGCACAATTCGGTCACTTCAGGCCTGATCTATTTTAATGCAGTACAAGTATCCTACATCCTTCTCTATTAGGCTGTTTTATTTGTTAATTGTTTATAGTGTTTAATTATTTATGCACTTGAATGCATTTTGTGTAGAGAAGCATTTAAATGCGGGTACAGCACTTGTACCTTTCTCTGCCCATGAAAGTCAATCCACAGGACAGGAGGATGAGTCTGCACTTCTCAGGACACCAACTTCTGCTTTCTGCCATCCCCTGCCTCCCTTCTCTACTGTGTGGGCCTGGATCAAGAGAAAATGACAGAAAAAAGTGTTCTTGGCAACTCCTGGCTGTTCTGAGAAGTCCTCACTTGTGCCACAACTGGTAAGGCAAAGCCAGTGATAAAAGTGGTGTAATATCACCCTTGTACAGCTCCTTTTTCCTGCAGTGTATCACCCTCATCCACAATGGTTATTATTATTATCATTAGTAGTAGGACTGTCTGAATAATTATTTTAATTCCTGTTATTAATAAGACTATCTACAACATGTAATTCTGATTAATCATCAGATGAATTACCATAGTCATATACTGTCCCATGGAATAGTGAACTAAAAGAAAAATTAATCCAAGAACAATATAAAACTACATTAAACTTGATTATAATCTTCACTCAGAACTGTAATCTCATTACTTCAGGACCATTCAAGTATAACAGCAGTTTTAAATTCAAAGCATATTCCTTACCAAAAGAAATCTAAGTTACATTCTGTGATTCTAACTAATGCAGTC